AGGCGGAGTCGAGGTAAAGGCGGGGGGAAAACGAGAGCAGAACGAAAACGAAGAGCACCGTTTCGGTTCAGCCCTGTGATGGAGGGCGTGGTTCCCACGGCGCGCTCGTCGTCCCCACGGCGCGCCTGATGCAGACGCGGCATCTTGTGAGTGCCGTCTTTTTTGTTATTTTGCTTTGTGTTTTCGTGCTTGCCCTCCACCGTTGTGCCTTCGCCTTCGGCCCCGCCCTCTCTCAGGAGGGAAAGAAACACACAGACACAATCAATCCTCGATTTCCCAGAAGATATGGACAAATGTGGGACGTGTGGGGGGAAGACAGAAACCCAGAAAGTATAGGAAAATAGTGGGAATATTCTTATATTTGTGTGTGTCTTTATGTGTGTGTCCTGGGGCCCCTTCACTCTCGCCCGGTCGGCCTCTCGCCCCCCCTTCGCCCCCATTCGCCCCGCCCTCCCGCCCTCGCCTGTCGCCTCTGTGGCCGTGACCGCCCTGCTCGATCCGTGGCGAAGCGTCCTGGCTCGCCTACAGCCCCACCAGACAATGGTCTAAGAAGCATTTGTGGTTCCCACGAAAGTCGGGGGCGGAAAAGAGGGGGGGATGACTAGGGGGGGGTGGATATCATGGCGGGGGCCATGATATTTCCCCAGATTTTATGGCGCCTCTTCTGAGTTCATTACGACCCTGGCCCCCCCCCGGTTGGGCCGCGCACATGCCGCCGGTCATGATTTGCACCCCCCCCTCTTGGACACCCCCCTTTTGGCCGCTCCAGAGAAATGCTCTTCGAACAGTTCTGGCGGAGTCTGCCTTGTTTTATCACATAGGGTTTATGTTATAAGAACATGGTTTTTGTTCTTAGTAGAACATCTTGGGGTTCTAAGAGCATTTCCTGGTAGGACTACAGGAATGCCGGGACGGTCGGTCCCTGCTCAACCTGCGAGCTGATGACACGCACAAGTGTGGTCCAGACCGACGACCAGCTCTGGCTTGGACCGGACGAAAGGCGGGGGATTGGGAAAGGGGTGGGGGGTACGAAATTTGCTGCATGCAGCTGGTTTCGGCCTCGCCAAGGGGCCCATTCCTCGATACATAGCCGCCTCTGGCGCCGGGAGGCGCCGGGAAAATCAGCTGCGTGAGCTGATTCTCAAACTCCCCCTTTGCTATCCCCTCCTTTCGCCCGACCCGACTGGCGTCTGGGCCACACAAGTCTCGAGGATTCCCGAGGCGGTCTGGGGAGGAGCAGGAGGCACAAACTTGGGCTGTTCGGGGAGGAGGGAGCGCTCAACACATCACCACCTTGCAGTCAACCCGCAGAGTAAGGATAGGCATCCCTCCCAAGGGTACACTTTCGTTGGCCACGCGCCCCGCTCGAAACGCTTCGAACTGGGCTTCCAAGGCCCTTGCATCCTTAGCGCGCAGCCTTACCCTACGGGCTGACTGTATCGGCAAAGTCACCCAGCGAGACGACAGCACGAGAGCCCCACGGGCCCGCCCGGGAGCACGACGCCAGGATGCTGCACAGCACCCCTGCGGAGACTCCCTGCACCTCCACGTCGCCCGTGGAGAAAATGCCGAACATCCCAAGACACGACGACAATTGATACATCGAAGATTTGCTTTGGAAACAAATCGCTGGCCAGTCTAGCGGTACAAATTTAAGTGCTTCGCCTTGGCCAGCCCCGCGGTGCAAATTTAAGTGTTTCGCCTTGCCGTGTTGCAGGCTGTTTCCATGGAGGTACAGTCTGTCGGTGCAACAAAAAAGACACGACGACAATTGATTTTGAATTCCACCATCGAAAGACTGGAATGCACCACCGGCTGACGTAAAGAGGGAACGCTCACCCAATGAAGGGGTCTGTGGCACCCCTGAGAAGACCACGGTCTCGAGGAACCAGAGTCAACACATCCTGGGGGAGGATCACCTTTTCCAAGGCTCTCTGACACCCCGAGCAGAGAGACCCCCCAGATCACCAATGCAAATATTAGGATCGGACCGCTGAAGGACCAAGTCTCCGCCAGATCGACCAGGGTCAGTGCCGTGTGGAAGCAACTTTTCGAGTACTGGCATACCGCACCATTGATTGTCATCCGTATAGACACCAGTACGTCACAAGTCGAAGGCGACGAAATCGCCTGCTGCATGCCATTCAGCGAGGCGACCAATGCCAAGAAGACCTTCGCCCTCTGTTGCCGCCAGCGCGGTGACGCGAAGGGTGACGTCCACCGTCCCCGCCTTCCTTAGCACGGCGAATCCATCAATCTATGTGGTGGTGGAGAGTGAGGAGGGGAAGGAGAAGGAGGAGGAGGAGGAGGAGGTGGAGGAGGAAGAGGAGGAGGAGGAGGAGGAGGATGAGGAGGCGGAGGAGGAGGAGGCGGAGGAGGAGAGGGCGAAGGGCCGCTTCCGGGAACTCCGTCCCCCGCCCGCGCGGCCGTCCGCGGGGGGGCTGGCCTCAGCGCGTTTCGTTGCGCCACCGGAGGCGGGTGGATTGCGTGCCACGAGAATGTGATCACCCGCGACCTGAAACATCCAGGAGGGGAAAAACACACAGACACAATTAATCGTCCACTCCCAGGAAAATATGGGAAAATATGGGAAATGGGAGGGAGGACACAAACCCAGGAAATATAGGAAAGTATTGAGAATCCTTTTATTTGTGTGTATTTATTTGTGTGTCAATGAGATCACCCGCGACCTGCAACATCAGCCACCAGCGGGTGAACATCATCGCCACGGCACCGGGGGTTGCCCGTCGTCGGGGCGGCCCTGCATTCACAGCGCACGAGCCCACGAGACATGATCCAAGGGCGCTGCACTTGCACGCCGTCTCGCCCGTCAACGGCGTCGCGAGGCATGCGATGCGGTGGTGCGGTCTGGCAAGCACGACAACACTTGCGCCAGGAAGGGCGTGTCTGCGACGCTGGACCGCGCTGATGTGAAGCCCTGCGCTCAGGCACCCAGCAGCAGACGACGGGGCTCCGACTACAGCTTCGGCATTTCCCGCGCCAGAGGTCGTCATAGAGGTACCGGCCCGAGACCTGCGCGACTTCCACTGCGGCGCGAGCAACAACCGCAAGAACGACCAGCGCAACCAGCGCGGCGAAGAATGCAGCCACAGCGGAGGGGAGGGAGGGGAGGGAAGGGGAGGGGAGGGGGGAGAGGGGAGAGGGGAGGGGAGGGGAGGGGAGGGGCAACAGCCGGGGAGGGGAGGGGAGGGGAGGGCAGAGGGGTGGGTGGGAGAAGGGAGGGGGGGAGGGCGAAGCAGGGACGATGGGTGGTGACGGGAGCAGGGCGGAGAGGAGAGGGGAGAAGAGGCGAGGAGAGGGGAGGAATCGGAGAGGGGAGTAGAGGGGAGGGAGAGGACAGGAGAGGAGAGGAGAGGAGGAGGAGGAGGAGGAGAGGCAGGAGGGCAGGAGAGGGGAGGAGAGGGAAGGAATATGGAGTGCGGCACTGGAAACGAGCGGGGAGGGGTCGAGTGGGACAGGAAGCGGGTGTCCCGCGGCGTCAGGGATCTCTCCGAGTTGTACGGCCTGACCTCCTCAGCGCAGCAGGACCCCCATCGGGTTCTTGGCCACCCGCCCTGCCGTCCTGCTCGGCGTCGTCGGCGCCCTCCGTCTCCTCCGCTCCACCTCAGAAGACAAAGCTGCAACAGGCACGAGTATGCAACAGATCTTCCCGCAACTACTTGGCCACTGCGGGTATTTGGAACCCGTCTCGCAGGGCGCATGCGGTAAGAGAGGGGGCTGTCGGTGCTATGTTGCGATCAGTTGCGTTGATCGACGCAGCCCGTTTTTCTCCCAATCGCTTTCACAAGTTGCCAATGCATCAACCGCCATGTGTTGGCGCCGCTGCTGGCATGATCATGCTTGTCGCATGCGCCTTCAGCTGGGAATGCTTCTGGGCTATATCGGACTCAGCCGCCGCCTAAAACAGTATACGCGCCGGCAGATCGAGATCTGTGATGCCAGGGTAGCGTGCAGAGGAGTATGGCCATGTTCTAGACTGGCTGGACAGCTGAAGAAGACAAGCGTTCGAAACAGTCCACGCACACGGTCTTGCGTTAGCGGGCAGCTGCATCACACCATTGCGCGGCCTATTCAAGCATTAGTTGATGCCGATTGCATTCGAGGTTGGGGGTGAGATTCCAAGTATCCCATCACCTTGCGCTGCAATCGGGGGCTTCTGAGTGTCCCTTGAGGGCCTCCGGGAGGTCTCTCGAGGTTTCTTGGGTGCCTATCGCGCGCCTTGGGGGCCTTCTCGGGGGATCTTTTGGCACTAGAAGGTTCGTGGGGCCAGTTCGTGGTACCATCCCCTGTGCCCGCAAAACTTCAAATACCAAAGGTGTTCCAACAAAACAACAACCCAGATATCACGCGGAACACCCCAAAAGTCACGCGAGAAGCCAAATGAAACCCGCCCGTTGGTGAACTGGGCCGATTTTAAGCTTGTTACCAGCACGAAATACGTAATGATCAAAGGGAACTGGGGGCATGCGGCACATTGCCTACTGCACGTTGGCGGCCATTCCATCCAAGCACCCAGTACAGGAAGGGAGACATGTCACACACTTTACCGTACAGTTCAGAGTCGACGTTACATGCCTTAATGTGCCAGACTCTCAGAGGTCGGTCGACGATTCTTGTCTGCGAGTACAGTGCGGTGTTGGGAGTGACAGTAGCGAGCCGAGAAACGTGACACAGTGCTCGTACAGCTTCAGCTGATGCATCTCATTTGTTCACAACCGGCATCCGGCGTTGATGGTTGATAGCAAGTATGATGAGGCTCGGAATGTTGTCTTTCAATTCGGTTCACCACCTTCATCCTAATAATAATCGGTTGGCCAATCGGGCTGTTCACCATGAATCGCAGGTTGCGCTTCACATAACAGAGCACCTGAGTTAGCACTCGCTCATCGAGGCCTACCGCATGCGGCAGAGGCCACGGTCATGCGCTTGAGCAGTCTAGAGTCCAGCATTGTGGCGCCTCTGAGGCCAGCGACGCGGTTATGGAGACGATATTGCAGGACAGTGTTGCGTCGTTGGAAGACACCATGGCCCGTGAATTGGGAAGATCTACCCATGCGAATGCCCGCCATTCAGACCCATAGTGCGCCGATGTGTTGCAGTCTTGTCCATCGTCGTCAGCTTCCAGACTCGTTCTGGTTGTCGTCGCTGCCAGTCAGAGACGTCGACGTCTTCCGAAGACGAGTCGAAACAGGAGTTGGGAGTACGCCCGTATGCCACCAGAGCATCCAAGTCGCGTGGTGCGTGAAGCACCGACTCGTTGGCCGAGTGTTTGTCTGGCTTTTTCTGTCGTTGGAGATTGTTTTGATTGATGCGACTCTGTACATCGAGGACTCGATCCTCAGCAGTTCTGGACCTGCGAGCTACGATACGGAAGCGGAAAATGTCACGAACAAAAGCTACAAGGTCAAGCGAGCGGTGTGTTGCCCAGGTGATGTGCCAGAAGTTAGTGGTGTCCGCATCATCTCAGAATTTTTCAACGTGAGTGTTGCCGGTACGGTATGTTGAAAGTGTTGTCCGTCAGTAAGCGGTGCACATCATGTTTTCCCCAACCATCCTGTGGTGTTGGGTCCTCGTTTTGAAGAGAGCCCCCCGCGTCTCACCTCCCGCTGCCCCCGCCCTCCTCCCGCTTCGTGGCCCCATAGGGAGTTCCACCGAAGGCCCCAGCGGGAGCGTCTGCATGGCACCGCAGCCTCATTTTGGCACACCCCTCACATGGGGTCGTGGCCCCATAGGGAGCTCCACCGAAGGCTCCAGCGGGAGCGTCAGCATGACACCGCCGCCTCATTTGGCACACATCTCACACGTTTCGTGGCCCCATAGGGAGTTCCGCCGAAGGCCCCAGCGGGAGCGTCCGCATGGCACCGCAGCCTCATTTCGTCACACCCGTTTCGTGGCCCCATAGGGAGCTCCACCGAAGGCCCGAGTGGGGGCGTCTGCATGACACCGCTGCCCCATTTTGGCACACCCCTCACACGTTTCGTGGCCCCCATAGGGAGCTCCACCGAAGGCCCCAGCGGGAGCGTCCGCATGGCACCGCTGCCCCATTTCGGCGCACCCCTCGCACGGTTCGTGGCCCCCATAGGGGGCTCCACTGAAGGCCCCAGCGGGAGCGTCCGCATGGCACGGGCCGCGCACGGGGCTCGGGCGAAACCAAGAAGACTCCCCGCTCGTCCGGGTCAGCCATTCCCCCCCCTCATGCACGCCGCAGTCCTTTTTGCTGCCCCCCCTCCTTCGTCTTCTCTCCCTCGCGCTACTCGCAGAAGCATATGGTTGGATCCTTCGTCTGGCTAATTTACTGTCGGAGCGAGGTAGAAGATCTCGGTCGGTTTGGGCAGGGTCTCCTAATGCTCTTCGTGCTTGTTGAATGTTCTTTTGCAGCCTGGGTGAGGGTACCCTCGACTGTTCATCAGTTTGGCGCCTCTGCTCGCTCGTCCTGGTAAGGCCCGGGCCCGGGTCCCCTGATTCGGCGACGTCCGCCCGCGGAGCCGGCAGGGCCCATCTGCGCTCTTCGGTCTCAAGCGGAGGAGGCGGAGGAGGCGGAGGAGGAGGAGGTTGAGGAGGCTGAAGGGGAGAAGGAGGAGGAGGCGGAGGCGGAGGAGGAGGAGGAGGCGGAGGAGGCGGAGGCGGAGGAGGAGGAGGAGGAGGAGGAGGAGGAGGCGGAGGCGGAGGAGGAGGCGGAGGAGGAGGAGGAGTAGGAGGACGACGAAGAGGAGGCGGAGGTCAAGGTGCGGCCTCTGGCAGCCGCGCGCTCGTGGATGCTGGCGGTGCGGAGGCCATCCTCCCGGCACGTTCTCGGGGGAGGGCCCGCCGAGCCCCGCCCGGGGGGGGGCAGCGCCGAGAGGGGCCTCCACGAGGGGGCCACCACCTCCTCTTGGGAAGCGAGGGTCAAGGAGGAGGAGGAGGAGGAGGAGGAGGAGGAAGAGGAGGAGGAGGAGGAGGAGGGGGTTTGCCCGTAATTAGGGGCCAGGAGGAAAACAGGCGGGTAGCAGCCCGATCGTCACCCTTGTTTGCCCGTAGGGGCCAAGGGGAGGGAAAATTGCTCTTGTCGCCGCGGCCACCTATGGAGTAGGTGGTGGGAACGTTGGGCGTCGGAGCACGGCTCCGGCGCCCCCTACCCCGAACAGGGAGCGCGGAGCACGGTCTCCTTGCGTTCCCTGTTCGCGCATCGAGCACGCCATGGGGGCATGGCCCTGGACCGTTGGCGCTGCTCTTCTTCGGCCCTCCTGCTCGTCCACTCAGCAGGTGGGCGTCTGTTCCTCTCTGTGAGGTCTTTGGGGCGCGTGGAGCTGAAAAAAAGAGGAGGGGGAGGGGGAGGAGGAGGAGGGGGAGGAGGAGGAGGAGAAGGAGGAGGAAGAGGAGGAGGAGGAGGAGGAGGAGGAGGGGGGGAGGAGGAGGAGAGGAGGAGGAGGAGGAGGAGGAGGGGAGGAGGAGGAGGAGGGAGGGAGGAGGAGGAGGAGGAGAGGAGGAGGAGGAGGACGAGGAGGAGGAGGAGGAGGAGGAGGAGGAGGAGGAGGAGTGGGGTGAGGGGTGCGCCCCGTGCCCTGACGATGGGCCCCCCTCCCCAAGTCTGCGCGCCCGAAGGCTTGACAGCGGCCGAAGGCCTTGAGGGTGGATTTGGGGGGCACGGCTGCCCCGACCAGGCCGGGCAGCGAAGATCGCGTGACGCAAAGGGAAGGTCCCAGTCGGTGATCCTGTGACGTGGTGTCTGTTGGTTGGCGGAGGGTCTCATGTGCTTGCAGGGTGCTCGCCTGTCCCTAGGTTCGCCTGTACTCGGCGCGCGCCTTTGCAGCACCTGGACACTGAACATGCAGATGTGATTCGCCAATCGTTTCTTGAAGACCGGGCACCTTCGCACGCGCAACACAACGACTGAGGAACTCATGCGGGCAGTCCACATCCAGGGCCTCCTCTTACGTGTAAGCAAAGATCGCACGTTACCTGATGCATGCAACCTATGGTCATACCAGGCTGGTTGCCTACCCGATTGCCGGCTGACGCAGGCGAGCAACTCATTCTAGAGCCCCCCCCGAAATAAGCGAGGCAGATCGTGTCCACCCGTTGGTTCGTGCTGTTGCACTTGCTCTTCGTCCTCTGCTTCTCCTCCTCCTGTGCCTCCGCCGCTTCCGCTGCCTTCTGCATTCCTTCCAGTCTCTTTGTCCCTTCCCCCCGCGCAAAAAGGAAAAGAAAACAAGCATAACACATGATAATAACAAAAACAGCTCTCCTGCGCCCCCCCCTTTTCCCCACTTTCGCTCAGCTGCGCCACCGCAGGACGGCGAGGCCATGAACTCCGAAAACGACACGCCCTGCTTCGGCGGTGCGCCGGAGCGGGGCGCCGCCGCCGGGGTGCTGACGGTGTCGGAGGCGCCTCCACACCCCCGGCGCGCGCGCTGGGCGCGGTGCTCTGCCGCCGCCTCCCCCCTTCCTCCTCCTCCTCCTCCTCCTCCTCCTCCTCCTCCTCCTCCTCCTCCTCCTCCTCCGCCTCCTCCTCCTCCCTCCCCCTCTTTCCCTGCCCCTCCTTCTCCTCCCCTCCTCCCTCCCCCTCCTCCCTCCTCCTCCTCCTCCTCCGCCTCGTTCCTCGTCGTCGTCGACCTCCCCCCCCACTTTCCTCGGCGTCCCTTCTCCTCACCGTCTGGCCCCGTTCCCTTCTCTTTTGTCCCCCCTTCCTCCTCCCGTGCCGGCTGCCTCCTCCCTTTTTTACTTACTCCGTTTCTCCGTCTTCCTTCATCCGTTATCTGCATCCCGTTTTCTCCCCCTCGCGAACTTGATGTAGCCACGAAGCCCGACCTTGGAGGACAAGTGGGCATGACTTGCGAGGAAGAGGAAAGCAAAGAAGAGGATTCCTATGGGGTGCATAATGCTGATTCCCGTGCTGTCCGTTTGAAGCTGTGCCACTTTAAGACGTATTACGCTGGTTCCCGTGTTGTCCGTTTAACGCCGTGCTATTTTGTCGGGGCGTCTCCGACCATCTTGGAGCCTTGTTGGGCAGCCTTCGGGCCCTGGGGGCGTCTCCGACGACATCTCAGGGCCGTTTTAAGCAGTCTTCCAGTCTTGAGGCCCTCTTGGGGGTCTCGGGGGACTTCCTGGGGACCTCTTGGAAGCTTCTTGGGCCTCTTGGGGGCCTCTTGGGGCCTCCTGGCGCGTTTTCGGGCGGAGACCCCAAAATGCTGGTCCGTGCTCCCCCTCTGAGGCCACTCTTGGGGCGTTCCTGGGGCTTGCTTATGCCGTCTGTGCGCTCTCTTGGGGGCGGCTCGTAGGCCGTGTTGGGGCGATCTGTAGGGCCTACTGGGCCGTCTTGGAGCGTCGGGAAGCCGAAAAGGCGAAAACGCTAAAAACTCTGGAAAACCCTCGGAGCATCACTGATGTTTGACTCTTGGGGCTCTTTTGAGGGGCCTCGTGGTCGTGGAGGCCTCCTGGGGCGGCTTGGTAGCTTCCGGGCCTGTCAGGAAGCCAGATTGGACGGCCTGGCGACTCGTGGCTCTCTTCGGGGATCGTCTGTTAAAATTCCCTTTCGGGGATCATCCGTTAAAGTTGGAACGATACAGAGAAGATTAGCATGGCCCCTGCGCAAGGATGACACGCACAAATCGAGAAGTGTATACAAATTTTTATATTGGACGGCCTGGCGATTCGTAGCTCTCTTGGACCGTCTTGCGGACCACCCTGGGGCCGCCCGTGCTGCACGCAGGCGCGTCTGCCGAAATGGGGCCGTCTTCCGCCGGCTTCCGGCGGCGTTGGCCGCGTGGCCAGGGCCACGTCCCAGGGGTCCCCCCCCAGACCCCCCCAGGGGAGCACTAAACGGGGATCACTAAACGGGAACACTAAACGAGAACCCCACTAGGGATCGCATGCTGGGAACATCAATAAGCTTGTGTCCCCCGAAAGCGTTGCCTTTGCTTCCCCCAAAGCTGGTGCATGCTGTACAATCTCCACGATTCCACCAAGCCTCGCCTGTGCGTGCATGCCTGCACCATCTGCAACGCCATGGCTTGGCCACTGCGCGCTGGGTAGCTGCTCCAGATCCAAATGCTCGTGAAATGCCATTGGCCACGGTCACCTGTGGTACGGGCACAGAGGGAAGTGGCTGGATTGGGATAGTGGGAGGATAGTGCAGGGCTTACTGCAAGCAAAATATCAGAGACTGGCCGCGGACTGGCGGTACCCACTTGCTTCCCAGGGAAACTCAAAACCTTGAGCCAAAATGGCTACGGAAAGGGAAAAAGAGAGAGAGAGAGGGAGAGAGATATAGAGAAACCAAACAAGAAAGAGAGAGAGAGGGGTCGGGATGGGGATAGGGATGGTGATATGGATACCGGATAGGAATAATGGGTAGGAGTTCGGATAGAGGTGGATAGGGATAGCTCTGAGGATTGGGATAGGGACGACAATCGGATGCCATGGGAGGCCACGGGAGGCCACGTCGCCCGACCGATGCCAGACCCAGACCCAGCCATCCACCATTCGGACGGCAATGTGAGGCCACGGGAGGTCACGAGCGGCGAAGGTTGCCGACCGATTTTGGATGCAGCAGTCCACCCCTTAGATTCTTGAAGCAATTATATAGAAGCCTCACAGCCAAATTGCTGAGGGAGAAGCGCACAGGGGTGTCGTTCGCCCTGGCTTCGGTGGAGGGGTGGGTTCCGCTTCAATCTAGGAAAATATGTGTGGTGCCACTTGTGTGGTGCAAGCTATGTGGTGCAACGTTGTTTTCTGATTCAAGGGGTTTACTTCCGCCATTTCACCGACTCGAGGGCCCCCTGGGGGCTTGTTGGGAGCCTCGTGGAGGCATCTTGGGGCCAGGGCGCCTCTGGGGCATCTTGGGGTCGATTGGAGCCATCTTGGTGAGGGAAGAAGAGCTCGATATGTAAATTCGTATTCGCTCTCTGAGGGCCCCTCTGAGGGCCCTCTTGGCGCTATGTTGGGCCTTCTTGGGAGCTCCTGGGGCCGTCTTGTGGCCCTCTTTGGGGCCATGTTGGGGCTTTGTGGGCCTTAGGCCCCTTGGGCCGCCTTGGACCCTGTCAAGACGGAAAAGGCGTCATGTTGAATGTATGAATATTTCCTGAAGGACCGGGAGGATGCTTGCCTTTTTGGGGCCCTCTCGGCAGTCCTCTGGGAGCACTCTTGACCTGTCTTGGGGGCCTCGTGTGCAGTCTTGAAGCTATCTTGGACCGTGGCGGGATTACCGTAGACTGTCGCGACGCTCTCTTGGATTGTCTCGGCGCTCAGTGTGGCCCCGCTTGGGCCGTCTTGGGGCTCTTTGGAAGCTCCGGAGAGTCCCTGGGTGCCGTTTACTAGCTCGTAACCCCCAGTTGGGACCCCTGGGGAGGGGGAAAGGTGGAGGGGAACAACCAGCGGTCTCCCACGCTTTTTCACCCCAGCGAACGGGGTCCGCGGATTTCAGCCAGCGACGCGGTGCGAGCCGAACAAATCCGGCGATCATCAAATCGAGACACGGCCGCTCGCCGTATTTGCATATTTGTTTGAATCCGCGGCGCTCGGAGGAAGCCGGCGAACTATTTCGCCGCGTGGCAATGGTACAGGGGACATCGATGTTCGCTCAACGGGGAGCAGAGTGATGCCAGCAATACTGTTCTGATCACGCACACACACACGCCTAAAACGAATTCTTACCAACACACAATTCTTGCAAGGGTTCCCACGCATCTGTTCAGATGTTGCCCCAGCATGGTTGTTCGGGTTTCTTCCATCGCAGGTCACGAGGCCCAGCCATGTTTGGCACTGCGCTCGACACCGTCAGCGTGAGGCTGGGCATACGGCGGCCACGCCAGGGGCGCTGGACGTCACTGCACCGCGGTCCGTCCTCCCTCCCGGGAGGGGTGCAGTGGAGACCCATGCCAGGAAGCACCCTGCTTGCCTCCAGGGTTCCCTGGGTTTCTTGGGTCTCGGTGGTCTTACGATGGAAAGCGTGACGCCTCCACGCCAGAAATCAATGGACACCCCGGGGCCTCAGGGTTGGGTTTCTCGTGGAAGGTCTCTGGTGGTCGGGCCCCGTCTGCAAGAGGCGGCGGGCGTCCTTAGCCGTTTTTAATACATGCTCCGCGTGCGGATCATGTATTAAAGATGCAGGGATGTAGCATTAAAAACAACGATGAGTTCATGCATAAGTTCATTCATGCATCAATCACGCATTACAATCCGGTATTTGTTTAATCCTATGTATTCGGAGCTGCCCTGTGGGGGCCTTCCAGGGGCCCGCAGGCTCCCTTTTCTGGTCCCGGCGGCGCGAGCCTCTCGGAGGTGAGCCCCCGTGGCCCCGCGGGGCGAGGCCCGGGCGCGGTGTCCTGCGCGGGCTGGGGCTTACAGTACCGTTTTGAATGCATGCTCCGCGTGCGGATCGTGTGTTAAAAAGCAGGGTTTAGTATTAAAAACAACGATGAGTTCATCCATACATTTGTCCATACATTAACAGTTTATCATACAAATTCCATAGTTTTAAGACATCCCATGTCTTAAAAACTGCCCTGCACGCTCTGCCACACAAGCGTTGCTCCGACAACCCTCAGGAGCGAAAGAGCACGCCGAGTTCCTCAGCACGCGTCGGCGGGGCGTCGCCCCCGCCGGCGGCCCCACATCGAGCCCCGTCGCGGGCAGCCACCGTGCGCCGACGGCGCTCCCACCCCCGTCGCGGCGCGAGGTTGACCCCCGTCGGGGGGGCACCCCCCCCGCTTATTGAGAAACTCAGAGTAAGCATTGGTCGGGCCGGACGAAAGGGGGGGGATTGGGAAAGAGGGGGGTTACGAAATTTGCTGCATGCAGCTGAGTTCGGCCTCACCGAGGGGCCCATTCCTCGATACATAGCCGCCTCTGGCGCCGGGAGGCGCCGGGAAAATCAGCTACGTGAGCTGATTCTCAAACCCCCCCTTTGCTATCCCCCCCTTTCGCCCAACCCGAATTGGGAGGTCCGCCACTGGCGCGCTCCGCGCGCCAGCGAAATGGGGGTCCGGCGCCGATCCGAGAAAATGGCGCGGACCCTTCCGCGGTTTTGTGCTCGTGTCGTTGCTTGCTCCCCTCGCGAAGGACGCGCGCGCACATCCATCCACACTGTTTTCGAGCGGATTCCCGGACGGCACCTCCAGCACCGCCCTTGGCGCGCTCCGCGCGCCAGCGATATGGGGGTCCGGCGCCGATTCGAGAGAACTGCGCGGACCCCTCCGGGGTGTTGTGCTCGTGTCGTTGCTTGCCCCCCTCACGAAGGGCAGGAGGGAAAAACACACAGACACAATGAATCGTCGACCCCCTGGAAAATATAGGAAAATATGGGACGTGGGGGGGAAGACAAAAACCTCGAAAATATTGGAACATATGGGGGATCCGTTTATTTGTGTGTATTTATTGGTGTGTCCCAGGGCCCCTTCAGAAGGACGCGCGCGCACATCAACGCACACTGTTTTTCGAGCGTGCGCGCTGCGCTAGCTTCGAAGCACACAAGGCTGGCCTCGCGGACTTGGGAGGCCATGCTCATGTAATTACGTGGCTGGGTGCGTGCGTCCTCTGTGGGCAAGCGTCGTGCCCGGTCTTCTCGCAGGACTCGTCCCCCCTTGGCGGCTCGCACAGGGGGTTATGGGGAAGGGGGAAGGCTTCTTAGACTCACCCCTGCCTCTCAGAGGGCGCGGGCCTCGTCGACAAGTGTGAGGCCGGCGCCTTCTTCGAAGCAGCCTCCTTCTGAGACGCCTTCCCCCCTCCCCCTGCCCCCCTCTGCGCGCCGCCAACCCCCGCCGCGCCGCCAGGGCGGTGTCCTTTGTGGGCAAGCTCCTTCTCCTCCTCCTCCTCCTCCCCCTCCTCCTTCTCCTCCTCCTCCTCCTCCTCCTCCTCCTCCTCCTCAGGGTACCTGAACTCCTCCTCCTCCTCCTCCTCCTCCTCCTCCTCGTTCTCCTCCTCCTCCTCCTCCTCCTCCCCCTCCCCCTCCTCCTCCTTCTCCCCCTCCTCCTCCTCCCCCGCCGCGCCGCCAGGGCGGCGACCGGTTGTCCATGACTCGGGACCGGACCCCGACAATGGCGGGCGCCTGCGCGGCCGCGCTGGCCGAGGACAGCTGGGTCTCCAGGCGCTCCCGGGCGGCAGACTCTCCTCCTCCTCCTCCTCCTCCTCCTTCTCCTCCTCTTCTTCCTCCTCCTCCTCCTCCTCCTTCTCCTCCTCCTCCTCATCCTCCTCCTCCTCCTCCTCCTCCCCGGGCGGCAAGGAGTCACCACCCACCAAACCACCCCAACCCAACCCGAAGGTCTCAATTTGCCCTCCATTTCCAGTGGGGGGGGGGGGTCGGGGAACACTGAGAAAACACGTATGGAACCCGTACCCCCCCAAACCCGAGATTCGGGTCTTCGGGTTGGGTTGGGGTGGTCTGGTGGGTATGTCAAGAGCGCCGGGAGAGGGGGTGAGGTTGGAGATTGCATGTTCGCAGGAGGCAACGTCCAGAGGCAGGACGGGACAGCAAACCGTCGATGGGTGGGGGGACGCATGAGGAACATGATGGGGATAGACAAGAATCGGCGATGCTCCTGAGAAATAGGCGAAGCATGGGAGGACAAGGAATGTATGGAGGGTGCTGGACGGTGAACCTCCGTTTAGGCCACCCGTGGCAAATCGGTTCCATTAGCATTTTGCGCAGCTACGGGATAGGCTCCATCATGAAATGTACGTTGACGAGCATTCTGAAAATCAAGGTGCGGATTGGCGTACCAATGCCAGGTCTACACGTGCAGGCATCGTGGGACGCGCGCGTAACTGAAACCGCAGTGGCAATCGATGGGCGCATCCGACTGAGATCAGGCGTGTTTGTGTGTATGTGTGTGCGTGTGCGCGTGTGTGTGTGTGTGCGAAAGTGATGATGCATGCGTTCGCCCTGTACTGTTCCATTGGAATTGCAGCTGGAGTCGCGCCCCGCGGGCAGACGCTATGCGTATGTTTGTTCAAAGGGCGACATGTGTAGCAGAATTTGTTGTGTAGCGTTGTATGTCACAGCCATGCGCTGAATCGTATGCGCGTTTCTCAGCGTATTGGCCGACCCACGCGGAGAATATGTTTCAATGTTGATGTCATCGTTGATTGTATGGCCGGTATGGACCCAGTTGTGTGGGCTTTGGTCGGGCTGGATATTGCAGCGCGACCAGCCGGATAGAACTGTAGGTCAGTGGCGTCGTGGACATTACTCGAGAAGTACAGCGCCAGAGAAATGTTTTGAAAGACAGGCCATTCATCGCCCATGCAGGTTCTGTACATTGAGTTTTGCTAGAGGTTACCTGCGAGACCATCATTCCCTAAATCAGTTTGGCTTCTCTTCGTCCGCGTTATCGGGGGGGATCCCAGGTGGCCGAAAGGAGAGTGGAGATCCCGCGTGTTTTGCGGGAGGGGATCCATTTTCGGATGCTTCCCGGAATCGCCTCTCATTCTCCTTCCCTCCCTTTCTGGGGTCCTCGTGAATTACGGTCGAGAACTTCTGGATAGCGTGTCGTTCAGCCGGATATTGCCCACCGCGTTTCCTTGCGACGCGCTGTCCATTTCGCGGTCCCAAGGCGTCCACGTGCCGAGCTTTTCCGAGCTTCCCGCCCCGCTGAGCGGAGCGACGCGCTATGCATTTGCTAGGTATTTCGTGTCGCTGCCGCTTGTGCGAGCGACCTCCCGCCGAAGGCCACCGCCAGTGCCCGACGTGGCGCCCGGCGGCGAGGTGGCGCTCCGAGCAGACGGCCAGATTTGCACGGCGGTCGCTGCCCCAGCATCCTTGCGACAGCAGAGGTTCACTTCGCGGGCGGCCAATAGGCGGGTGATGACTGGGGGTGGGTGCAGGTCATGTCCGGGGCCATGATATGTCCCTTGCCCTCCATCTCCCTCCACCCCCCCTGGGCCGCGCACATGCCTCGGGCCGTGATTTGCGAAGCCTCCTCTTGGGCACCCTCTATCGGACACCCCCGATCCTTGCAGAAAGTATGGGCCCACGTGCGTTCCCTTCCGCTCGGGCCATCAACCATCGTTTCTACCCCAATCTGGGCACCAGAGAGCGAGTGGGGGAGGCAGGACAATCGCCATCAGAGAGGTTTTCCGTTTGCCATCATCTTCATAGGGTTTTCATTTCTTCTCTTGTAAAGAAGGGATCGCGGCTCCACGCAGACCTGGGATGTTGGCAACCAGCTTGCCACAACACAATGGAGTGCATAGTTAGAGTCGCATGTCAAATGGTTGCGAAGGCAAGCAGGTTTAAGTTGAAGTGCTTGAGCACTTGTGTTGTTGAATTTTGCCCGATTGTGTGCATACACTGCGCGCGAAGAGTTTGCTCCTAGTTACTATTGGAAGGAGTTGTGACACCGATGTGATTGAGAGGGCTGCGCACAAAGCCATGCCATTCAGCCAAAGAGTCTTCGTGTGCCTTCGCGCGGAAGCTGGGTGCTCCGTCTGCAACACAAGTCTTGCGAGCACCGTGATACAGCTTGTGCTGGTCAGGGAACGGGTGTCATGCTCCCCTGTTCGTGTCTGTCCGTTTCGTCGTCCGTCTTTGCCCTTCTTGCTTCGTTCATGCACCCTCTCTCTTTCTGCTCACAGCAAGTAGGGCAGAACGCCGCATACTTCGACATCCATAACCACACCAACTGGTTTGATCTCGCACGACTTCGCGCAGCACTCCGAATGTTCTCCCTCTGGCCCTCGTCACGTGCCCCTCCCGCCCCATTCTGGCCTCTCCACCCTTAGCGGCCTTTGTCTCCCGCACCGTTCTCTGGCCCCCCCTTTCCACAATTGCCCCTGCTTGTCCCTTCCATAAGCCGTTTTACGATTCCCTTCACCACCCGCACCTCGCCCGCTTGGCCCCTTCCCTCCTGGCCTGTCCGTCGCCCCCTAGCCGTTCTCCCTTTGCGTTCCTCGCCTGGCGTCCTCATTGGTTCCTGTAATGTGCCGTTTGTGTATTGCATCCCGCTGGCACTCTGAGGGGTCCAGCTCCCGTCGCCTGTCCCGCAGTCTGTCCCCATCCAGGCTTTGCACGAGCCAGGCAGGCGTGCCACGTGTCTCATCGAGCCGAGCGCTGACGCGCGCGCCGAGAGAGAGTGCTTGCTGTGCAGCTTGCGGTGTCCAGTACTGGTTCTGTTCTGGATGTCATTGCTGTAGCGGTTGGAGCTGAGGACGCCGCGCCAGTGCCAGAGTTCGGAGGCGCCGTAGCTGCTTTTTCCAGTGCTCCTGTCCGTGCTTCTCTGGCAGGCGTGCCATGGGAGCGACAGGTTGAAGGAATTTTGAATTGCGACCCGCTATAGCACTTCAGAAACTATGTTGACACTTCGCGTGCCCCAGAAACCCAGCCAGAAACGATTCCCACACGAACTGCTTTGGTGAGGATGTGCAGGAGCATGGAATGGAACAAAGATGGGAGGCAGCCGTGAAACCGAAACTCGGGATCAGCCATAGCAAATCCAGGTGTGAACCACGTAGGCTTTCGCAGAGGAGGGGCAGGTAGAAGGGATGATTGCCAAGCACGCTATTTGCTTAACGGGTACCAGCCACCATCTTCTGGAATGAGATGGCTATCATAGTTGCATCAATTCCCTCAGAATGGACATGATATTTCCGCTTTGGCTGCCCTGGTTGAATCGCGTGCTTCGCAACAGTGCAAGATGCGGGACACCAGAGAAGCGCAAGAAGGACGCAAGATGGGGTGGGCACCCGCCAAGCGCTGAGCGACCTATGGCAACCTCCTGGGAACATATTAAAGCATATTGGGGCTATGCTGGGGCTCCCTTGGAGCCTTCTTGGGGGCCTTTCAGAGGCCTTCTAACTAGCCTGGTGAAGGACCCAACCAGATTCAGCTTCGGCTAACGCAGGATATGATCCTTTCATCATCCGCAGCGCGTCGCGATAGGGATGAAGCCCAGGGCAATGCGAATGGGGGTCGGCGGATCAGGCCCACAGAGGTGAACTGAGCTCCATACGGTGCCTGACTCAACTGAGGGGCGCGCCGATATGTACTGTATTCGGTGCCGTACTCAAAGGCTCCCACCGAGGCCTGAGGTCGAGCTCCATATGGGCGCGATCCCTATGGGGCCATGATCCTCATGATGGGTGCGCCGACATGAGCGGTGCCACCATGCGGACCATACTGCCGGGTCCGTGGTGAAGCTCACTATCGAGCAACGATCATTGTGCGGAGTGGGGCGGTGCCACCCCTAGGACTGTCCCACAGTGACCGTGGATGGGGCTCCCCATGGGGCGACACTCCTCGTGTGAAGCGGATACGCCATGCGAACTTCCCCACTGGGGCCGTAATTGGAGCTCCCATTGGGGCCACGAAGCGTGTGGCGGGTGTGCCTGAATCTGCGCAGTGCCGCCATACAGGCGCCCTCACTGGGGCAGCAGGTGGAATTCCCGAAGGGAACACGACACGTATAAGGGGTGTGCCCAAATAGGCGCGGTGACGAATTGTGTGGTGAGTGGGCCGCGAAGCGTGTGGCGGGTTTGCCGAACTGTGCGCCGTGCCGCCGCACAGGCACACTCGTGGGGGCCGTAATCGGAGCTCGAAGCGCGCGAGAGTTTGCAGAAATGGGCGAGGGTGCGCCCTCGCTGGGGCCGCAAGGCCAACTCCAATGGGGGCTCCCAGCGTGCGAGGGGTGTGCGGCGTGCGTGCCCACGTGCGGGAGCCTCGCCAGGGGCAGTCGGCGGAGCTCTCTAGGTATGGGGGCTCGGAACGTGCGAGGTGCGTGTCGAAGTGAGCGCGGTGCAGGAGGATGAGGAAGAGGAGGAGGAGGAGGAGGAATGGAGGAATGGAGGAATGGAGGAATGGAGGAATGGAGGAATGGAGGAGGAGAGGGAGGAGGGACAGAAAGCAGGAGGGGGGATGAGGAGGAGGAGGAGGAGGAGGAGGAGGAGGGCCGTCGTTGGAGCTCTCCGTGGGGCGTGCCACGAAGCGCGCGAGGCGCGTGCCGCAGCGAGCGCGGGGCCGCTGGACGGGCGCCCACGCCTGGGCCGCCGGCGCGGCCCCCGAGTGGGGCATCGAAGCGTCTGGCACGTGTTCGAAGCTGGCGCAGTTCGCAGTTCGCATGGCGACGGGGCGAGGGAACGGCCCTACGCGCAACGTGCCTACTCGCAAGCGCCCGGGAAAAAGCACACGTCTGCTTCGAGGTAAGCAGTCGAAGATATTCGCCCTCGGCCAGTCCAGGCCCTTTGCGAGCAGCTATACCTTTCGAGCCTCGGAGACGGGGGTCTTGGCATCGCTCGGACGTGTGCATTTTTTCCCGGCGAGAGCCATCGAGGACCATCCTGGGCCATCGAGGACCATCCTGGGCCATCTGCGGGTCGAGAGCGAGCCTCTTCCGGTTAAGAGCTAGGCGGGCCGCGCAAAGCACTAATTGGGGAGACAGAGCACACGAGCAAAAAAAAAAACGCACGAAACCGAAAAATGCACAGGAAATGGACGTCCGAGCGACGGCAAGCTGGGCGTTGTGCTTTCATACGGGTGCCCTCACTGGGGTCGTAGGCGGAGGCCCTCTCGAGGACGACACGCGTCAGGGGTGCGCTGGCCGAGCTGGGCGCGATGTCGCCATGCGGGCGCCTTCGTCGGGGCCACCGATGGATCTCTCCCGATGTGGCCACGAAGTGTGTCAGCGGTGTGCCGAAATCTGCGCGGTGCCGCCGTACAAACGCCCTCACGGTGGCAACAGGTGGAACTCCCGATGGGAACGCGAAACGTGTGAGGGGTGTGCCGAAATGGGCGCGGTGCCGCAATACAGGCCGCCCACACTGGGATTGTAGGCAGAACTCCCTGGGGGGTGCGTGCCGAAATTGTCGCCCTGAGAGCAGACGAAGGAGGAGGGGGGGGCGGGCGAGGAGGAGGAGAGGAGACTTGCGGCGCTGCGGATCCAAAACGAACACCCAACGCAACACAGGAGGGTTGGAAGTAAGAAGCGGGGTCCTCGATTGGCGCTGCCTCCCTGGAAACCAAACGCCAGCTCCCGAGGCGCTGGTGGGAGGCTATTGGGATGTGAATGGGGCGCTTGTGGGGAGCCGTCTCGGGATCTTTAAGGGAGCTTCTTTGGGCTGTTTAGGTGATGTGGGAGGCATCTCGAGGCCTCAGATGCCACTCGGAAGCGAAAGGGCGGGACGGCGAGCACTATTGGAATCCACACGTGAGCACGTTGGGCGATGTCGGTTTCTCTGGGGGGGGGGGGCATCATTGGGGTACCCCGAGGCCACCAGGAGCTATCTTGGGCCGTCTCGATCTTAGTGGGCCCTGGAAACGACAGGGCCGTTTTTTAACCGGTTCAATTTAGCCGTTTTTTTGTTGCCAGTTCCGACACCGTTTTTTTACCGGTTCCGTCACCGTTTTTTGACCGGTTCCGGCTCCGGCTCCAATCCTGGAACCGTTTTTTTGCCGTTTCCGGTCGCCGTTTTTTGCCGTTTCCATTTTCAAGGGACATTTTTTGGGAAACGGTGAAAAAACAGCCCATGTTCGAGGCAATGTTGCGCGACCTGGGATCACATCGGAACCATATTTTGAAATGTTGGACGCTCTGACCGCTCGCGGGGGTGTTTGTCCAGATACAGGGAAGAGGGAGGGAGGATTTTCAGTGGTTGGGAGATCTACGGTCGGGAACTTTGGGATCGCGCGACACGCCGTCAATTTCCCGGTCTCCCAGCATCAACGTCCCGAGCGTTTACCGACCCCACCTTGCGAGTCTGCAGCGCTATCCACTCGCAAGGCAGAGTGTGTCGCCAGGGCCGCCGGGCTGGCAGGCGATTTCCAAGAGTTTCCGGGGGGATCTCGCTAGAACTCCTGCGGTGCGCTCTGGGGGCCGTCTTGGACACTCGCTGGTTCCATCTTTCGGCTCTCTTGGGCGATCTTAGGGCCATCTTCAGGCCACAGAAGCCCGTCGGAAGCGAATCGGCGAGAAGCCAACAAATTTTGAAAGCATGGGTTATTCGATTGATTTTGCCCTTTGGGGGTGCTCTAGGGAATTTCAACCTCCTCTTTGAGCAGTCTTGGAGCGCCATTGGGGTCTCTTGGGAACATGCCTGAAACCACCTTGGGCCATCTTGAGCCGTCTTGAGCGGCATATCCGGGCGCACGGCCCAACCATCTGCCGACGTGAATACCGCAAGGCAGGTGGGACGAATGAGGGGGAGCCCCGTATGGTGCCAAAATGCGTGTGAGTGGTGTGCCGAGATGGAGCAGTGCCGCCACGCAGGCGTTGCCAGTGGAACGCCATGTGGGCGCCGCCACTGGGGCCTTCGGTGGAGCTCCCTAGGGGGGCCACGAAACGTGTGACGAGTGCGCCAAAATCGGGCAGTGCCGCCATGCGTGCGCGGCCACTGGGGCGTGGAGCTTACTTTGGGGCCACGAAACGTGTGAGGGGTCTGCAAACATGGGCTGCGCCGCCATGCGGGCGGTGCAACTGGGGGGTCCGCTGGGGCTCCCTGTGGGGCCACGACGCACATGAAGGATGTGCCAATGTTGGGTGGCGCCGCATTGTGGAAGGAGGAGGAGGAGGAGGAGGAGGAGGAGAAGGGGGAGGGGAGGGGGAGGGGGGAGGGGGGAGGGGGGGGAGGAGGAGGAGGAGGAGGAGGAGGAGAGGAGGAGGAGGAGGAGGAGGAGGAGGAGGAGGAGGAGGAGGAGGAGAAGGGCCTTCGGCGGAGCTCCTGATGGGGCCGCGCAAGTTTTCAGAGGTGCGCCAACATGAGACAGTGCCAACACGCGGGCGCTGGCAGTGGGACTTTCGGTGGAGCCCCCTGCTCGGCCACGGAGCGTGTGACGAGAGCGCCAAAGTCGGGCAGTGCCGCCATGTAGGCGCTGCCTGTGGGACCTACGGTAGACTTCCTCATGGGGCTACGAAGCATGTGATGGGGCGCGCCGACATGGGGCAGTGCCGTCATGTGGGTGCTGCCAGTGGGACTTTTGGTGGAGCTCCTTGTGTAGCCACGAAGGATACAAGGGGTGTGCCAAAATGGGGCTGTGCCGCCATGCGGGCGCCACCATCGACGTCTTTGATGTGTGTGTGTGTGTGTGCTCCCCCTGAGGCCACGAAGCGTGTGGGGAGGGGTGCGGGCATGCGTGGCAGGGAGGGGAGGAGCTGGAGACGCGCGAGGGGGGAGGCATGAGTGACGCAGGACGCTGCGGATTCCTGGGGGCCACTATAGGTTCCTACACGAATTTGTCACATGCGGGGTCCTTAGGAGGCTCCGAGGCCACTCGGAGCCGCATTGCGGCCTCTTGGAGGCACGCCAGAGGTTCTCTTGATCCAGGTTGCAACATATTGTGCAGCCTTGGAGGCCGACATCTTCGCGCAACGCATCCCAGTAATGCCCCCCTAGACTCCCAAACCACCGAAACACCCACGGCTGTTGATTGTGGTGTGTTGCTTTTATATGAAGGCGGTCCCTATGCCCCGCCCCTTCGGACCCCGAAAAGTATGTGCTTGAGCGGTATGTTGCGTCATCGGTGGCGCATTGGAACACGAACCATATTGGAAGCATCTCGGGCTATCTTGGGGGGGGGCATACTCGAGTCCATATTTGGCAGTGCTGGGTACTCTGACCGCTCCCTCCGAGGGGGGGGGGGGCGATGAGACTCCCCAGAAGCATGGCAGAGGATAGGGGCGGAGCTGGTGGTTGCAATAAGTGGTTCGTTAAACCTTTAGCGGGGCGCTCCCCGGGACGTCTGGGACATCCGCTTGTCACATTTTGAGGCTTTCCTGGGCGATGTTGGTGCCATCTTGAGGCCCCATAAGCCCCTCGGAAGCAACAGGACGAGAAGCCAACAAACATTGAAAACACGGGATATTCAAATGGTGTTGGTTTCTTGGGGGTGTCCTAGGGGAGTTCTGGTTTCATTTTGAGCAGCCTTGGAGCGGCATTGGTGTCTCTTGAATACATGCTTGAAGCCACCTTGGGCCATGTTGGGCCATCTTGGATGGTATGTAGGGCTATAGTGGGGCCAACTTATGCTATTTTGGACGTTCTGGCCGCTCGCCCCCCTCCCCAACCGTCCAGATCCAGGGGACGAGGTAGCGTGAGGGTAACCCCTTCCCAGAGGGGAAGAAGGATTCAATTCCTTAAACCACCCCTGCATGGCGACAAAGTTTGGCTAGCTCAGCAAAACCCCAGACCATCCCTAATTTCAGATACGCCACCGCGCTTGCAGCGATTGGTGTTGTGTGCGTGTGTGGCTTGCCCTTGGGTGTTTCTCTAGCTTCGCTTCGTGAGAAGCAAGATTAGTCTCCCCCGACTCATCGACGATCTGCGTCCCAAGATTGCATACGTTCGAAGTCTCAGAAATCAGCCCCTGTGCGCCCATCCTTCCCCGCCGCCACCACGTCTCGAAAGGCCCGCCTGAGCGCAGTGGCGGATTCGCGCGGCAGCACAAACCGATATGTTGAAGGATTCCGCACATGCGGCTGAGAGCTCAGGCCTTGGGCTTGGGCTGAGGTCTTCGACGGAGGAGAAGGAGTGTGTGCGTATGTGTGTGTGTGCTTGTATCTGTGTGTATGTGTGTTGCTCCTGTGCCGATGCTTTGGGGAGGGCTCGAGGCGGGCGTTTTTTGAGCTGGTCATAGGATTGCACTGCGGTTCTGGGCCTGGTGATGTTCTCGGGCAGACCTCACGGTATCGCTGTTCATGTTTCCCGTGTGTAGTGGCCGTGTTCGGTAGATTCACGGAACAGGGTTTTGTATGAATTGTTTCGTTTCGGTGTTTTCAGTTGTTGGGTTCGGGGCGAACCGGGATTTCCTGGCGAGGGGCTTGAGGTCTTCGTTGTTCAGGCATGCGATGTCTGGGTTCGCGCCTCGATCTGATCATCGAGGACAAACAGCCCCTAGCCCTAATCACATTGAGAAAACGTGGCCTCATTTAGGTCCCCGTCGTTGCATTCGGGATAATACATCTGGGCGGTTTGGTTCGATACATCCTGAGGAAATGCCCCTCTCCCTAAGGTCTTTGGCTCTCCTAACTTAGGTCCCCTCCCAAAGGGTCAGAGTATCTTTGAGGCGGAGGCATTGGTTACGGAATGTGCCCAGGAGGACTCAGCCCCCTGAAGGATTCCTCATCTGATTTGGGCGGCGACGACGTCCATGGCCAATCCACGAGTGGAGCCCCGCTGTCTTCCAGACCCTGGATTCCTCATCCAATGGTTCCTTATCCAGTGCCCCCACCGTGTTGCTGATCACGACGTCCCCCCCGTTTCGCCCATCCAACGGAGCCCACCCTCCCTCCGCAGGGCCCGCGTCGTCCCTGAACGGCGCCGGGCCCGGCGCTGCCTCCGCTGCGGGCGCCGCACCCCGCCGGGGGCTGCCGGACATTCGGGACGGGGCGGAGGGCGGAGGAGGAGCAGGAAGCAGGAAGGGAGGGAAGGAGGAGGAGGTGAGGAGGGGGAGGAGGAAACGCAGGAGGAGGTGGAGGAGGAGGGCATGGGGGTGAGGTGGGGGAGCAGATGGAGGAGGACAAGTAGGAGGGGATAACGGGGAGAAGGAAGAGGGGGAGAAAGACCAGCTAGGTGCGCTCGCGCCGTATTCGACGTCCTACCCCTCGTCGGGAAAGACCTTTATCCCGAACCTGCAGCCTACTCGAACAGGACCTCAAGCCTGGGAGTCAAGGGCTGGCAGGGCATGAAGGCGGGGGAGCGTCTCTCGTTTGAACGGGAGCCCGATGGAACATACTTGTGATATATACATATATATATACATACATATTATATAGTATACGTGTTTTCTCCTCGGCCTCTCAACGCATACCGGTGTTTTGCGTCATGTAGTTGCATGCTCTTAAACATGAGGGCTCAGATCTGTGATGTGGGAGGTGCTCGCCGCGCTCCTCTCGGCGGCCAGGGACCTCACCACCCCTTGGTCTTCATTGGCATACGGCCTTGGCGGCCGCTCCGTGCCCGAGCCCGCCTGCGAGACCAGGCTTGCCCAGAGCTGGTCTGTGCTTCTGCGCCGCCACTGGCCTGCCCTGCACCGCACTGCGAGTGCACGTGCCCGCCACGGACGGGGGCTACTGGCTACTGCTGGCTACTGCTGGCGGGCGCTGGCGCGGCGGCTGGTGCAGCGCTGGGATGCCTGGCGGTGGGTGCTGCGGCTAGCTTCGCGCTGGGACGCGCGACCTCGTCGGGTCGGACGTTGACCGAGGCTGCGACGGCGGCGCCAGCACCGCCAGTGCTCCAGGACCGAGCAGGAGGCGTCCGTTCGTCGCTGATAACGAGATGGCGGCGCGGCCGCGGACCCTGGACATCAGGAAGCCGCAGATCGTGGTTAATTCTCCAGCCGATGATCTTCCTTGGCATCATCGGGTCTTCCTGTTTCATCTCGGGGACGGAGCGTGGCTGTGCTTGACTCCAGATGTGGATATCAGTCGGCGCCATTACGTCCTTGACCGTAACAGGTCATGTCCGAAATGGGTGTTGGCAGGGCTCTATGCTTTCGACCCTGTGGGCCCAGGCGAGTTGGCGGAGATGAAGCGCCAGGCGCGCCAGCGAGCGGCCTTGCCCGGTGCTAGCGACGCCCTTGAGGAGGAGGCGATGGTCTGGGTGATCGGGGATCCTCGCGACGCCAGGTTCGGTGAGGTGCTGGACGAGCAAGCGATCACCCACAGGTGTGTGCATATGCGAACGATGGGGGTGATCTCCCTCGACGGTGCCGAGCGGCTGAGTGTGGAGATCAACCGCGAGCAGCGCGATGATTGGATGCGAGACCAGCGGGAGCGCGGCATCAACATTCGCACCATCGGCGACCACCGCTCCAGGCTCGGGCGACGCGACGTCGATCCCAGAGACGCCGTCGAGGTGAAGGAGCAGGTGGAGCTTGCTGATGCGCCAGACCTCAGGCCCCGCGCGACGGGGGCGTCGTTGACCTCCGCGGCGACGGGCAGCCAGGACCTCGTGAGCTACCAGGCCGAGCGGGAGAGACTGAGCGGCGTCTGCGCACCGCGTCCTGCTGGAGATAATCCGTCGCGCAATTTGCCTTGACCAGCTAAATGCGAAGGACCTTCATTGCTTGGGGGCGGCGTGTCGACGCGTCATCCAGGTAGAGTTTTAGATATCTATACCTATATACATATATACATATATATATATATACATCTGCATGTATTATCAGGGACTCGAAGATGTCATCGAAGGACCGATGGAAGCGACAGGGCCAGCATCGGTTCCGCCGCACTTGGAGCACGCCGTTGCTCGCCAGAAGGATCGCGCCACTATCCTGATGCATATTTGATTCCGCACAGAGGGGCTGGATCGTGTCCGACCAAGTGATGATAGGGACAAGCGTCAGAAGGGTGACGAGAGCGACAGGAACAACAAGCGGGGCAAGAAGGGCGGCAAGGACAAGCCCCCCGGGCGAGAGTCTGGGGGAGGAAGGAGGACGACTTCCTCCGCGGGCGCTCATCAACAGCGCTTGGCCGAGCCCGACGACGGCGGGCGCCGTTCCGGAGGGGCCCGAGGCGGATCCAAACGCGATTGGTGGCCTCGCGGCCAGCGGCTCCACAATGGCCATTTTTTTCCCAAGCCCGCGGTGGACATCGAGAGGGCGGGGCCCCGCGCTCTACCACGCGACGGCGGGGGCTCAGGACTGAGCGGCAACGGCGAGTATCAGACGCAGGTGAGACGCTCGACTGCCTCGCCGCCTCACGCATGAATTCCAGAGCTCGACGAGTGGGGCCGCATGGGGGGCCGCCGACAGCCGTGCAGCGCAGCGCGCTGGAGCCCGCCCAGGAGCGGGTCGACTTCTTCGGCGCCCCTCCTTGCGAAGCGGTGGACGGCGAGAGGCCCCTCCGGGAGATTCTCCGACCTAACCAGTGCGAGCTGGAGCCGCAGCGTTTGGCCAGCTACGACGTCGCGAAGCTGTAGGCGCGCAAGGGGGACATTCACCCAGTGCCCGTGTCTAGGTTGGAACCAGCTGAGGCGGCAAGCTTCTGGCTACATTTCCAAAGCCAGATCGAGCCCACCGAGCCTGATGTATCCGATCGGGCCCGTGAGGCCGGGGGTTTGCCCGAGCCGCATCGGCACTTCTACTCCGCGGCAACGCCGAGCTGCGACGCGACTTCTTCCGCCGAAAGATCGGCATCGCGGGATTCAGGCGAGCGATCAAGTCTCGCTGCGGCGCCTCCTTCGTGCGCAAGCATGACGGGGGCGCCTGGTTTATCTGCGACGCGAGGGCTAGCAACATGGGTCATCGGCCTTCGCCTCACGCAGTTTTGGGAGGGGCTGCCTGCCTCTCTGAGATCGACCTGAGCAGCTACGCGGCATCGCTCGGCGGTGTTGTCGGGATCTGCGAGCCTCACCTCTCCGGGGCCGACGTCAAGGATTGTTCCTGCCAGTTGGCCAACGAAGACATGGGGGGGCTGGTGCGACTTCGACTCGGCGCTGCGGCTGGAGGACTGGGACCTGGACCTCCGCCGCGTCTGGGACGACTCCGTCGGCGGGTGGGCGCCTGCCGTCGCGGGGGAGCTGCTGCGCTCTTGCCTCCGCGCCCTGCCGATGGGCTGGGCTTGGGCTCTCTACTTCGCCCAGGAGGTGGTGTCCAACCAGTTTCGGGCCTCGTGCCTGGATGGAGACCGCCAGCTGCTTCGTGACAAGCGACCTGCCCCTCTGCTTCGACCTGGGAAACCTTTGTCCGCCATGGGGGTAGAGGCGTTCCAGGAACAGGCTGCCGTCGCTGGGCTGGGGCTGCATGCTGCGGACATCACGGTGCAGGAGCTGGAGAGTCTGGGCCTGGCGCTGCGCGGCACGGATCGTCGCTTTCGCCGACAAAGCCGTGGCGGGCGCGGCGGTTTGACTTCGCCGCGAAGGCCCTGCTGAAGCGAGGCCGTGCGAGCGGACCCGAGCTACGCACCTGGGCTGGACGCGCCGTGGCGATGCTGGGCCTGCAGCCGGTTCTGTCCTCGATCTTGCAGGAGGTGCGCCACTTCATCGGGGGCGGCTCGCGGCGCCGTGCAGCGCCGAAACCGCTGGCGAGGGACGAGCTGCACGTGGCTGCGATCGCCTGCTTCCTGACCGAGGTCGTCGACCTGGACGCGCCGCTGTCCGACGAGGTTCACGCGTCGGACTCCTCGTCGGGCGGGTTCGGCCTGATGCGCGGGCGGAAGCCGCTGCTCGCCGCGCGGGGCACCCGCCGCTGGCGGGAGCGCTGGCGCTTCGTGGAAGTCGAGCCAGACGCCGACACCAGCGTCTACACCGCGGCGTACCTCAACCAGCTCCGAGGCGTCACCGACGGCTTCGGTTCCACGCTGGCTAAGGGGGCTGCGAAGTACGCTGACTTTGGCGCTCGCGCCTGCGGCCCTGCTGGCGCCTTGCGCGAGACGGAGCTGGGGCAGCTCATGTTCCGCCGTGTTGGCGCGGCCCGGGGCCAGCGAGGGCGCTGGGTTGGGCGGCCAGGGCAGAGGCGCGATGTCGAGCTCTTGAACGCGGCGCCTGCCCTGCCCACCGCGCTCGCTGACGCGGCTGGTTGGACCGCAGCCGTGGAGGGTCGCTAATGGCACGACGCGCGTATCAACGTGAAGGAGGGCAGGATTTGTGTGGCAGGCCTGAGACGATTTTGCCGTGTGAAGGCCAACCGTGGTCACGGCTGCCTGAGCCTTTGCGATAATGTCGCGTGCTGGCGCTGCTTTGACGAGGGCCGAGCTCGTTCGCACGTTGTCAATTATTTGTGTCGGGGGTCTGTCGCTAACAGCGCAGGATGCAGAGTGCGATGGCGTGTCAGACATGTGCCGACATATTTGAACGTTGCGGATGCGGGGTCCAGGCAGCACCAGACCCTGGACCCAGAGTGGATGTCTCAGAAGAAACGAGAGCGGCAGGTTGTGGTTCCCTGGGCGGCTGCAGCGTCACCAGAAGTAGAGTGCTGCATGCTGTCCTCGTCTTGTTTTCCATCTAGCCTATCACCCAGAGATCAGAACTACTCTAGATGCGGAACGCAAGCCATTACACCTAGTCCTTCTTCTGCGGTCACTCGCATCTTCGTGGAGCTTTTCGCTGGCGCAGCGGGTTTGACCGCTGCAGCGCGAAGGGCTGGCATGCGAGCTGCGGCGCCGATGGACATCAAGCGCGGAGCCGAGTTCGACTTGACGAGGCGAAAACTCAGGTGCCCGTCCTGTCTTCGGTGCGACCTGGGAGGATCTGGGCCGTGCGTCTTGGGGCGCCATGTCGATCGTGGAGTGTCGCCCGTCGCGGAGTTCGAAATTTACGTCGTGCTCGTGTTGCGGAACGTATTGGGGTGGAGTTCGCGCTATTCGCGTCGGCGGTGGTTCGAGAATGGCAACGGTGTGGGGTGGGCTGGAGTATTGGGGACCCTATGACGTCAGGCCTCTGGAGCTTTTCTCCTGGTGGGCGTCTTGCGGGCCTTCAATGGACTCAGCGGGTGCGGTTCCCTATGTGTGCTTGCGGGGCTCAGAAGTGGGCTCTGGTGCTCACGAATACTCCAGAGCTTAAGGGCCTGTGCGCTCCCTGTGCCAGCAGCCGTAATGAGGCTCTTGTGGGTGAAGTCCGAGTTCCTGATGGTTCTTGGGGTCGTGTCAGGTGTCATTTTATGGCGTCGGCGGGTCAGTATCCGTTGGCTTTATGCTCGAGATGGGCTTCTCTTTTCGGCAAGATTGTATTTCTGGCCGCGCGGAGAGACGGTGCCCCCTGAGGCGGCGAGTGGTTTGCTTCCCTACGCGCGCTGGCGACGCCTTCGCGGGTTCCCGCGGAGAGGCGGCATGTTCCAGCCGCTGACGAGGCAGCGGGCCGCGACGCGGGTTGCGGGGCTGCCGACGCCTACTTCGCGAAGAGCGGCGTGCTCTCCGGCGGGACAGGCCCTCTGGGTCGGGCGCGGCTCAGGCGGCTCGGGGACGTCCTCGACCTCCCCGTCGTTCCGCCGCCGGGCCTCGGCCATGGCCAAGGCCGCCAGCCGCCGCCGCCGCGCTGCTGGCAGCGGTCGTTCTCGCGTGGACTTCATGCGCCAGATGTCTGTTGTCGCTCCCACGTTGCAGTTGCATCGCAGTGCTGTCTCTGTCTTCGTGGCCTGGTGCGCAGCGGAAGGTCGACATAAGATTGCGCGCGCAGACGCTGGTGATCATATGGCGCAGTGGTGTGTTCCAATGTTTTTTTTGCACGGGATGGGCCCTGGGGCAGGATGGAACGGCCTGTTTACGTGCATCCTTTTTCGGGGGGATCGATTTCAAGACGGTCCCCAGCGCTTGCCTCGCGCTCGGCGTCAACTGAAAGGTCGGGAGCGCGCTGGCCCGGGCACGCCGAGGCTGCCTTATCTGTTGATCCTCATGTACGCGATCGCCTCCGATATGCTGCATCGGGGCATGGTTGGCATGGCGGCTTGCGTCGCCCTGCAGACAGACCTCTACTCGCGGCCGCCGGAGACACTGGCGATTACTGATGCAGACATCCTTCACAGTCAGCCCGCAGCATGCCGTGCTTCTCCTGGTGCTGGGCTGTAGTGTTCGCCCAGATGGAGTCGGGCAGGCGAACGAAGGCAGGTCAGGTAGATGACGCAATTGATGTGGGCGTGCGTGGTCGCGAGTGGGTTCGCGATGTCGCGGCGGTTTTGAAACGCTCGGTGATGCCTGGCAATCCCGTCTTCAATGTCAGTCTCGCCGATGCTGAGAGAGAGTCCAAGATGAGCCTGAACCGAACGACGTTGCAGGCAGTTGGGCGACCGCCGCGCTGGCTGCGACACTCGGGGCCCTCAAGCAACATATTCGAGAAAACAGATCTGCAAACAATTCAGAACCGCGGACGCTGGGTGAGCTTCAAGACCGTAGCTCGGTATGAGAAGCTCGCCCAGCTGTTGAAGCAACTACAGGTGCACGCCTTTTCAGATCCGAAGCGCCAAGCACAGTGTGTTCTTGCTGCCCGCAGCCCTGTTGCACTCGCTTCGAGAGTTATCGGTCTTACGGCCGCCAGCGCCGAGGAACTCGGAAGGTTTGGCCTCCAGAGGGTGCGAGCATGCTCGTCCTTGAAGAAGCTAGCGCTAGTTGCCTTTTTAACTCGAGATGGTGCTGCCCCGCCTGTTCCGGTAATGTTCGGATTCGTTGTTGTGCAATTTTGCGGAGTGTCATCTTGCAGGTTTTCGAGGTCCTCCCGGTGCTTGTGGTTATGGCTTCGCCTTCAACTGCTGCGTTGAATGTTCTCGCTGGTATGCGGTTTAGGGGCCTTCGGAGAATTGAAATCGATAGATGTGTTTTCTTTTCAGCCTTGCAAAGCATACCGGTGCTTTGCGTCATATAGTCGCATGATCGTAGACATGATGGCTCAGTTCTGCCAGCCCTTTCCCCACCTCCATCCGTCTGGCCTCCAGAGGACGTAAGCGTGCTCGTCCTTGGGGCTAGCGCTAGCTGCCTTTTTAACTCGAGATGTTGCTGCCGTGCGTGTTCTGATGATGTTCGGATTCGTTTCTGGGCAATTTTGCGGAGTGTCATCTTGTAGACTTTCGAGGGATATCCTGTGCTTGTGGTTGTGGCTTTGCCTTCAGCTGCGGCGTTGGATGTTCTCGCCGGTATGCGGTTGAGGGGCCTTCGGAGAACAACTGTTTGACGCTTCGCGTTTCCAGGCTATCACATCCAACAACTATGCACAGGCGAGTTGTTGTGAGACGGGAAGTGTCGGAGCAAGCAGTGGAACAAAATGGGGGGCCATCAATCAAACGAGAGATAATTTGAGAAAGAGAGAGAGAGAGACAGAGAAAAAATAGAGAGAGAGAGAGGGCGAGGGAGCGAGAAAGAGAGAGAGAGAGAGAGGACAAGACAGAGATAGAGAGAGAGAGAGAGAGAGCGAGCGAAAAACATAACGGGAAAAAGAGAGAGATATGGATATATAGCGACGGGGACAGAGGGGGAAAGGGGGAAAAAGAGAGAGAGAGCTACAGAGACAGTGAGCGAGGGAGAGAGCTAGACAGAGAAACCGCGGAGAGCGCAAGAGAGTTACGGCACGCAGTGTACCTTCAGTTTGCTTAGCCGTCGCCGCACGCATTCAGCGCTGCGAGTAGGCCCATGCTGGAGGTCTCCCGGGGCCGTTGCGGGGCCGTCTGGGGGGCTTATTGGACCATTGGGCTTCAGGGCAGGATCGGTCCACTCTGGGCCGTCTTGAGGTCTTTTGGAGTGGTTTGGGGGCCCTGTCGGGCTGTGCTGCGGGAGTGATGAATTTCCACAACCTGCCCCATTTGTACCAAGAAAGGATCACACGCCACTGGGAACCACGCTCTGTTGAACGGGCATTTCTTGGAGGGCATCAGATAGCACAGCCTATAGCGGTGAGTCCACACCGCCATCGCGGAGCCAACAAACGTTGAGCATGTGCAGACCGCGCGCGAGGCGCCGTAGGCCCCTCCGGGACGTGCATCGCTTGCAGGCATTAGTGCCGCCATGCCTGCCCATCACTGGGGAACGCTTGTTGAACATGGTCGTCGACCAGCCTCGGCAGCGAGTCGGCACACGGGATGCTCAAGTTCGCGAGCGGCTCTTGGAGAAGGCTGGCCACCCGAGCCATCGCATCCAAGTCTACGATCTTGTTGATCAGCGAGCGTCCCCGGACAGACTCATTCTGGATGTTAGCAGTGGTGACCTTGATCTGTTTGGGCGCCCGAGTTATCCGGGGTAACTCGGGTCCGGGGTAACTCGGGTTTGGATTCCCGAGAAAGGAACCCGAGTTATCCCTGACCCGAGTTACCCCTGATGATTCGGGGCTCTGGACGCCCGAGTTATCCGGGGTAACTCGGGTCCGGGGTAACTCGGGTTTGGATTCCCGAAAAACGAACCCGAGTTACCCCTGATGATTCGGGGCTCTGATCTCTGTGTTGGCACACCCACGTGCTGCCGGTGCGACGATATTTTTCGCTGTGTGCTTCAATCCCAGCGGTCGCGTGCCCGTGGCGGAACACGACCCTGGGCCCCCGTCTGCGTGGCAGCCCTGGGGCAGGAAGACGCCCAGGCTAGCCGCGAAGGCCAGCGGCATGGTGCTGCCACCACGCAGCCGATGCAAGTAGATGCGATTTGGTCTTGGGCCCCCTAATTCTCGGACCCCATAAGGGCCTTGCCGATTCGAGAGGAGCAGTGGGCATCAGGCTGGCTCAGCGCTGTCCCGTGAAGGGGCAATTTGCAGTGGCAGTGCGAAGCCTTTCACTGTGCTGGCTGAGGCGTGGTAATACATGATGGGGCTGTGTTCCCTGGAAAAAAAAGTAGTCGAGGAGGACCATTGGCCCACGCCTCACAGCCCAAACTCTATAGAAAAAGGCATCGCGCACTTGCTTGCCTTTGTCTTCGCACACTTTCACCGCCACTGTATGGTAGCCTACAGGAGTCCCCAAACCAGGGAGCGCGCCGATTCGAAATCGCCTCCCTGGAGATCGCCCCTGGCCGAAGGGATGAGAATCCCCATGAAGGTCTCTCTGCGGGGGCCGAATGAGATACTGTGGGCTCAGCGATGTCATCGCTACGGAGTTTCACCTGGAGGCGCGCTGTCAGGCGCCGGCACAACCAGCATCGACAATCGAAGTTGACAGTCTCACCTCTCTCCGGCCTCCTCGCTCATCCTCCTCATTCCTCCCCCACCTGTCATCCATCCGCATGCATCGACACAGGCAGAAACGGGGCCCAATCTTCAGGCCACACTATCAGGTCGGATGGACCACCTCCATGAATTGCTGAACTCTGGCTAGCTCCGGGTGCCACATACCTTCTGTGTCTGGTGTAGTCCCATACCTCTATTAAAGCTAATTCTGGATTTCGGGATGGCGACCAGCAAGGAGTGAGCAGCGCACTCAGCATCAGAAGTCACTTGCACACCCCCCTCCTAAGGATTGAGTTTGTCATTCTTGCCACGGAGGAGGGTGACTCTGGACGCAGCCTGGCTGTGGAGGTGATGGTTATCCCAATTTGGATTGCATGCGGCTGCATTCGCTGCAAATCACATGCTTTCCTCGCTCCCCCCTATTTCCACGGCGGGTTAGCGCAACGCCGCGCGCGCCCGCGCCTTCACCTGCATCTGCCTTCCCCCGCCCCCGCGAGGGGAAAGGAGTGAGGAAGAGGAGGAGGAGGAGGATAAGGAGGAGGAGGAGGAGGAGGAGGAGGAGTCGCCACGTCCTCTCGAAAGAGGAAGATCTGGGCGACCACGGCGGCCCCCAACGGGCCTTGGATTTCGTCGGGGGCGCGAGGCGCCTGCCGCCGCGGGATGGGAGGCGCCGACCCTGCGCTAGCCCTCTGAGGCTCTCGCGCTGCCCCGCCGCGCCATGGCCCTGGCGAGGCTCGTGACGGCGTGCACGGCTGCCGCTGTCTGGATGCTCACGACGGGCCTCTACAACCCGCAGAGCTGGCAGTCCTGGCGGGTGGCTCTCGCGCGCGAGGCGCTGCAGAATTTTGACGTGGTGGCACGGCCTGGCACTCAGCAGCGTCAGAGAGACGCGATCCCCGTCACGGCCACTAGCACGATGAGGCACGTGGTTCTCGACGGGAGCTGGCGCAGTGGACGGCTCACTGACAAGAGCTGCGGTACCACGATCATGATTGGTAGGAGCGTCAGCAACCATGTCCGCCAGGTACTCAGCTCGCCGCCGAAGATTGGCATCACTGAGCGGGCGGGAGGTCTCAAGCTGACGATGACGCGGACCCCGATGCTGGGCGGCGGGGTCTACCTCACGCCGTACGGCACCCAGGAGGAGCGTACGGGGGCCATGCAGCGCATCTCAGATTGGATCAACGACGAGGGGGCGGAGGCGGGCAACAAGGACCTGGAGGGGATCGCTTGGGACAAGCAGCTGGATTTCAATGACATAGACGAGGTGGCTGGACGTCATGGACGGAGGTGGGTGGCTATGCACTACCTTACCGCGGCCAACACGCACTTCCTTCCGCTCGACAGCTACTACGGGTCGGAGCAGACCGGCTGGAAAGATCAAGTGATTGTTCCGCCCACGACTATGGGGGCAGTGCCGAAGATCAGGATGCACCACTACCTGATGCGCACGCTCTTATCATTCCCGACGGCTGAGCTTCGCTATCGGTACCTTACTGAGGCCCACATCACTTACGAGCTGAGTTACTGGCCGCTGCGGGGCGCCATGGCAAGGGCGGATCGGGACTCCCTCATGATCCGCTTGACGAAGGGCGAGCGGAGGCACGAGCTAGGCGAGAAGGTTGAGAACGATCTGAGCGCCGCTGATGCCGAGAGGAACCGCTCCGACTCCTACCCCACCTGCGAGACCAAATACCATCTCTTCATGAAGGCGATTCGCGGCATCAAGATCTCGTTCTTCCCACCCACGAGGACGCTGGACAATGAGTACGAGCTTTTGGTGGAAGAGAGGGTTGAGGCTCTGCGAGCTGTGGCGCACGTGGCACATGAACTTGCAGAGATGCAGGCTCGACGGGATGACACAGGCCACCACTATCTCGAGCGCGTCGAGAGGGGCGCAGAAGAGCGGCTACGGCGTCTCACATGCGAGTGCAAGGCGCGCTGCGAGGCCCACCAGGGCCACATTTACTACGAGCGGATCGGAGAGCTGAGGGATGAGGCCAACTGCATGCTGGGCGCTGAGGAGTGGAAGCAGGAGATGGCCATGGAAGGAGTTGGGGGCGGCATGCGCGTGCTGACGACCTACTGGGACCAGGAGGGCGGCATGAAGAAGAAGAAGCTCGCGACCGATTGTGGCACGGGTCTCGTCGCCGCCAGCTTCGGCGGGATCTCCGACGCGATGGTCACCAGGCTGCAGGGGGTGCTGAACACGTTGCAGGGGCAGCGCAGACTGGAGTGGGCAGTCCTCGACTTCTGCCTGGAGCCAGTGAACAGCGGCACGGTGGATGCGGCGGAGACGAGCGGGAAGGAGTACAACGATGCGGTGGAGTCCAAGACGCCCACTCAGCAGGAGCTCGGCAGCCCGCACGAGCAGATCGAGAAGAAGAAGAAGAGAATGATCAACAAGCTGGCCAACGCAGACAGGAGCAAAGGGCAGCAGGTCAGGCTGACGCAGGGCGTGCGGTCAATCATGAACACGGCGATGGAGGAGAGCCCAGCGATCAAGGGCGAGCTCTTCAAGGGGCGCATGTCCAAGCGCGCGAGGTTCGACGAGCATGAGCAGATGACGATGGACATCAGCCCGCAAGTGCAGCTACCGCCCAAGTGGCTGGGCAAGCACGGCGAGGGAAAGAAGAAGGCGAACGAGGAGACGTTCAGGGAGAGCGACGTGGAGGGGACGCGGCGTCTGGCCGACATGCCGCTGGCGTCGACTCTCGTCAGGGACGTGCGGACGCTGCTCATTGCCATGCTGGAGGCCGAGGGGGCGGTGCGTGTCGACGGGCAGGTCCAGGCTCGAGCGCGATCTGCAGAAGGATATGGGCCAGAGCATGAAGCCGAGCTGAAGGCCCGTCGGCAGCAGGCGGCCAGTGAGACCGCGATGGTCGCTGCGACTGGCAGCGAGCGTGAAAGTGAACTTCTGAGGGCCTTGGAGAGCAGGGTTAGCCCGACTGGGGTCGCTCCGAAGGAGAGCCCGCAGTCGGACGTGATGCACTGCGGGTCCCCCACACCCCCAGGCTGTTCGGCGGGTTCTGGCCCTGGCGGCTCCGTCTAACAGCCCGAGGGAGGATGGAATCCGCGGTGCATGGATGCAGTCAGTGCTGGTCGCGCGTCGCGGGCCCCCCTGGCTGTATCGGACCCCGTCGCCGCACCTGCGGAGCGGGGCGCTGCCAGGCCCCCGCGGCCGCGCGCCGACCTCGTTCCCGACGTCACAGGGGCACACAATTTTGTTTGAGGTTTTTCGGCCTGGAACTCGGAATTCGGTGTCCAGAGCCTTGAGACCGGTTTTCGTTGCCCCCGATGTGTGTTTAGTTTAGTTTAGGAGGAGGAGGAGGAGGAGGAGGAGCAGGAGCAGGAGCGAGGAGGAGGAGGAGGAGGAGGAGGAGGAGGAGGAGGAGGAGGAGGAGCGAGGAGGAGGAGGATGAGGAGGGGGAGGAGGAGGAGGAGCGAGGAGGGGGAGTAGGAGGAGGAGGAGGAGGAGGAGGAGAAGGAGGAGTGAGGAGGAGTGAGGAGGAGTAGGAGGAGGAGGAGGAGGAGGAGAAGGAGCGAGGAGTGGGAGAGGCGAGTGATGAAGAGGGGCCGTGTCAGAAGAGGAAGGCCCTCCATGCCCCCCCCCCCCGCCAGCTTCCTTTACGGCATCGCTGCCGGCGCTGGCGCCCACGGGCGACCGCCATGCGGGGAGCCTGGCCGCTGGGCGCCGCGGGGCCCGCTCCCAAAGCCTGCGCTTTCCGAGGAGCGAGGGCATCCCGTCGCCAGCTGCCCTGCTGCGCCCCCGCGCTGGAACGCAGCACGTGCCGTGTTCAAAGCGTGCGTGCTAGCGCGCTGCGTGTTGGCGCGGCAACGGGTTTGTCCACGCTTTGGCGAACGCAGCAGCGCGCCCGGCATTAGTGGGCCCCGGAAACGGCAGGGCCGTTTTTTCACCGTTTCCAAAAAAATGTCCCTTGAAAATGGAAACGGCAAAAGAACGGCGACCGGAAACGACAAAAAAACGGCTCCAGGATTGGAACCGGAGCCGGAACCGGTCAAACAACGGCGACGGAACCGGTAAAAAAACGGCGTCGGAACCGGCAAAAAAACGGCAGAACGGAACCGGCGAACCGGTAACAAAACGGCCCTGTCGTTTCCAGGGCCCACTAAGCGCCAGGCCATCGTTTTCGGTCTACGTGTCGAGCTCCGTGCCAACACCTTGCGTGCTGCGTGTTGCGTATCGGGGCAGCCAAATCTGGTCCTTCCTCTCCTCCCCGTTGGCTTTGATACGCTGTGGACTTGGTTCGATCGCCCCACCTTGTGCTCCAGACCTCTGCGCACACCACTCTGACGACTGATGAATGGATCGGCACCAATTGTCAAGCCGTCATTGCCAGCAAAGCGGACCGCTGAGGTTACACAAATCGATGGTCGAGGGTTGATGTCTCCTTCGCGATTGTTTTGCAAGTGGGGGGCTCACGAGCGGTCTGGAGGCCTCCGGGAACCCGGGCCCCCATCCAGAGCTCCCCCCTCCACACGGCCACAATCCAGAAGTTTGGCGCATCGCACGCGTATCGATAGGTGTTCCCATCGCAGGGCAGGTTCGACCGAAAGTTGTTATTCCTCCTCCTCGCCCCTGCAGGGCCCAAAGGCCATCGGGCTCCCCAAGTGGTTCTCGAACGCCTGATCCGTTTCTTGTTTTTTCGTGTGGGCCCCGCAGGGGGGCAGTCTTAAGTTGGGCACGTCCCTCTATAGGAGGAATACTCAAAAATAGTAAAAAATCGTCGGGGAGTAGTTTTTACGCCCGACTTAAGGGTGGTCTCTCGAAGTTGTCGCACTTCATCGGGTCACTGGTCCTGTTCTGCCCTGCCACCTTCCACGAGCGGATCGGCTGGACACCCGGCGGAGCCCTGGCCCACCTTGCCGTTCACTTAGGACGCACGTGAGAAGCAATATGCAAGGGCGCCCTCGAGGGCGCGAAGTTATTCGCGCTTCGCGGTTCGGCTCCGATTCCTCCTCATCCTCGTCTTCTCTGGGAGGCGGCGCGAGAGTGCGAAGTTATTCGCACTTTGCGCTTCGCGCAGCGCGAAGCGCGATGTTGGGAGCCCTTGCATATGCGGAAGGACTAATGGGGGATGGAAAGAGCCCCGCTTGAACGCTCAATTACTTGCATTACTTGCCTAGCGCTGGAGCGGCAAGTCTATTAGACACGCTACTCCCCTCATGGGGCCTGCTCAATTTGTCGATGGTCTTACCTCCATCTTTTCGAACGTACGAGTGTATTCAGTGTCGGACTTGCTTCTGCTCCAGACTTCCCGCTTCCGCCTCTGGGCTACCGCCCATGGCGCAGACTGCTAAGTCTCCTGCTCCCTGGGTGCTCTCCATGTCTCCCCCCACCGAAACGGGGACACCACTTCAGACGACTTGAGATCGTCAGAGCGCGATGCTGAATGCCTAGCCTTGGTGCCAAAGTGGTGCGCAATGGAACCTGTGGCGCCCTGCCTTCGACCTCGTCGCCGTCGGTTGAAGCGGAGACGGTGGTCGATGGACGAGTGTCGGTGGAGTCCGAGCTCTGACAGGGCTCGTAATGGTTGCGGCGAATGTTCTTACTACCCATCTGCTTCCTTGCCGTGCTTTTAGACTCACTAATGCTGCCCGCGCTCTGGCGCAAGCCAATCGCTTGGGCACGCAAGTAGCGTCCGCAGCCATCGTGTGGTCGCCACTATGAGTTCCGATTTGTGTTTTCGCCCCAGAGCACATCTCTAGTGCTCGCACGACTGTTCCGATGGACAATTGGCGAGCAGTCTGACCCCCTGGTTGTTTTCGCCCAGGCGCCGGTCACGGTCTTGGGTTGCAGTGGTTCTCTCGCCCTGGCTGTGGCTGTCGCCAATATTGCCAAATCTAACCTCGGTGCTCAATGTGCAGAGGGGAGGTGTGGGTTGCGCACGATGACCGAGACCGACGGCTTGAGTTTTCCCTTAAAAGCGCTTGTCATAAAAAGGTTTCTAATTTGCGTCCTAAGTAATTGGCCCCTTTTTCCGGGTCTTCGCCAAGTGTGCTCCCGCGGGCGCATCGCGGGCGCCACGGCGCGCCAGCTGGCGTGTCCGGACTTTCGGCCAGTGGGCGCCCCGTGAGTTGACTGGCTTGTCCTTGTGTTGCTAGTCTGCACCGAATGAGGCGTTCCGACAAGTGCCTTGCCTTCGAGGATCGAAGGAGTTGCCATCTCTTCCTCGGTGGAAGGCGGCGGAAGGTTGGCGGAAGTAAAACGAGGCCGCCTCCGCCGAGAGAAGCCTGCGGAAGGCGGACGAAGGCTGGCGGAAGGTGGCGGAAAACAGATTCGCCCCCAAGAGATTACAACGTGTTTTGGTCCAGGGTTTCCGAAATCCGCCAAATAGGTAGTGCAACATTAATGACACCACACGGTTCATAATCCAAACATTGCACTTAACACATGTATATATAGACATATAGAAAAATAGATGTATCAGTTTGCACCACGTGGAATCCGTAACATAGCATGTCATGCGTAGCGTACATCGCATAATTTGTACCAGTGTGTTCGCACGCATTAGATGGCATCAAGTATGTTGCACCACATGTCATGTTCAAGACAGCCTGTACACCATACATTGTTGCACCGAGTACCTTGCAACAACTAAACTGCACCGCACAGGTTGCACCGACAGTTCGCAACACATAGGTTGCACAATGCATGTTTTACAATCTTACCATCGCGAAGGGGCACAGCGGCAAAGTGAAGAGACGACCGGCGACGACGAGGAGGGCGTCGGGGAACGGCGGCAGATGGCGGCAGCAGCGGCCAGTGGCGCGCAGCCCAACCGCCGCCCCGCCCAGCGAGGTGGCATCAAGACACGCATTGCACCACAGATGCTGCACGCCGAGGGTCCAAGGGACCACTGCTTCTCCGGGCCCGCGCTGGCCGCGACACTCGCAGAGGTAAGCCTTCTCGGGGGCAACCTCTTCTGTGCGCGCACCCCCTGTCTCAGGAGGGAAAGAAGCACACAGACACAATTAATCTTCGATTCCCCAGAAAATATGGGAAAACATGGGAAGTGGGGGTGAAGACAAGAACCCGGAAAATATTGGAAAATATGGGGAATCTTTTTATTTGTGTGTATGTATGTGTGTGTCCCAGGGCCCCTTCACTGTCGCTCACCCTCTTTGGGAGCTGGCGAGCGCTCGCAGAGGTAAGTCTTCTCGGGGGCAACCTGGAGGAGGAGGAGGAGGAGGAGGAGGAGGAGGAGGAGGAGGAGGAGGAGGAGGAGGAGGAGGAGGAGGAGGGGGAGGAGGAGGAGGAGGAGGAGGAGGAGGAGGAGGAGGAGGAGGGGGAGGAGGAGGAGGAGGAGGAGGAGCGCGCATCCCCTGTCGCTCACCCTCTGTGGGAGCTGGCGAGCGCGCGGCGTCGGTCCGCCGGCACCGGCCCCACGAGGGCAGCGCGGGGGGCCGGAGCCCGCGGGCGGCGCGCTGCTCTTGGGAGCCTTGGGGCGGGGGTCGATGCAGAGGGGGGTCAGCCAGAGCGCCGGATCTTGCAGGATCCTGTCAGGAGGGAAAACAACACACAGACACAATTAGTCGTCGACTCCCAGGAAAATATAGGAAAATATGGGAAGTGGTGGGGAAGACAAAAACCCAGAAAATATAGGAAAATATGGGGTCACCCAGAGCGCCGGACCTTGCAGGATCCTGAAGATGGGGGGCGGAAAAGAGGGGGGTGATGACTAGGGAGGGGTGGGCATCACGGCGTGGGCCATGATATTTCCGCAGACTTCATGGCGCCTCTTCTTATTCCATAACGTGTCTGGCCTCCCCGCTGGGCCGCGCACATGCCGCCGGCCATGATTTGCAGCCCCCCCTCTTGGACACCCCCCTCTTGGCCGCTCCCGAGAAGAGCCAGGGTTGCATTGACCCGGGCTAGCGTGCAGGATCCTGCAAGATTTTGCAGGATCCTGCAAGGCCTGACTGCCCCAGGTTTGCACTGAGCCGGGTCAGTGCGTCGCCGGGCTGCGAGCAGGAGACGGAGCCAGAGTCGGAGAGATGATCTTAGGAGTCGGAGGGGTAGGCGCACGAGTCGGAGGATCGCAGAAACGGGAGTCGTGGGGGGGGGGGCACGAGTCATAGACGGAGAGCCGATCGCAGGAGCCGGAGAGGGGGGGTGGCAGAGGAGTCATCGAGTACAAAAGAGCCCCTAACCCTAACTATGTGACGAAGACGTGGTCTCACCGAGGCCCCCTGCTTCGCCTTCGGGCTCAAACGCACTGGCGGCTTGTCCGACACGTCCAAAAGACCGCCTGGTCCAAATGGTCCTGGCCATCCTGAATTAGGTCGCCCCCCGAAGGGTTCGGGGTCCTTTTGTCCCTCCTCCTCCTCCTCCTCCTCCTCCTCCTCCTCCTGTGAGCTGCTTTTTGTCCCTCCTCCTCCTCCTTTTGTCCCCTATCCTCCTCCTCCTTTTGTCCTTTTGTCCCTCCTCCTCATCCTCCTCCTCCTCCTCCTCCTCCTCCTCCTCCTTTTGTCCCCCCCGAAGGCCCCGAAGGAGGGGGGGGGGGGGCAGCAGGCAGGGGAGCTGTGATGAGAGGCCAGCGTCGGGTGCAAAGAGCCCTCGTGCGGCCTCCTCCCCCGGCAGGCAGCAGCAGCAGCAGCAGGGCCCCCCGACCCCGGGCTTCGGGCCGCCCGTGTCGCCACCGCCCCAGGGAGCTCCGGCGCCGCTTGCTGCAGGAGCCAGGGTTGGGGGGGGAGGAGGAGGAGGAGGAGGAGGAGGAGGAGGAGGAGGAGGAGGAGGAGGAGGAGGAGGAGGAGGGGGAGGTGGAGCGAGGTGCGAGGAGGAGCGAGGAGGAGCGGGGAGGGCCGAGGAGCGAGGAGGAGAATGAGGAGTGAGGAGGAGTGAGAAGAAGGAGGAGTAGGATTAATACGAAAAACAATAGGAATATTAATAAGAATAAGAGTAATAGAAATAATACGAATACTAGTACTAACGATAATAACAGTAATATCAACAAAAAGAATACTAACAATAACAACAGCAAGCTGAGTAATACGATCGATACAATACGAATTCATAATGATACTAAGAAAATGAGGAAGAAAATGAAGAGGAGGAGGAGGAGGAGGAGGAGGAGGAGGAGGAGGAGGAGGAGGAGGAGGAGGAGGAGGAGGAGGAGGAGGAGGAGGGGGGGGGGGCGGACCCAGTGGTTCAACGCATGGATAAATATCAAGACGAAGGTTGTTCGCCCTTTACGGTCCTGGAGGCCCTCGCCGAGCACGGGACCGTCCAGAAGCGACTCGTGATACGAAACGGCCCCTGGGGAAGAGAAGGATCGAGACCTCAGGGGACCCCGCCTGAGCTAGATCAAGACGGCGGATCTCTTGGGAACGAGGGATCGTGGCGGGGATTGTGGAGGCGGCGGAGCTCAGGGAAGGCAGGGAGCTGCCGGGCAGCGCCGCAGCCTTCTTCGCAAGCTGCAGTGGCTGCGGGCTTGGGCACAGCGATTCACCTGGCATCGCTTGGACGTGTACGTTTTTTTTCTCGGCGAGAACCATGGAGAACCATCCTCGACCAACGAACAAAAAACAAAACAAGCAAAACAAAACCACGCACGACACTGAAAAATGCACGGGGAACGGACGTCCGAGCGACGGCGAGTTCCAGCAGGCGGGTAGGCGTGATGTCCGAGAAGCCCAGAATTACTAGTTTGAAACATATCCCTATCCCTTTGTTTCACATCACCTCACCTCGATGCCGATGTTCAGGATTCCCTCAGTTTCTGAGGGCCTATCCCTGAGATTGTCCTCGCTTTTTGCTCGCCCATCTTAGGGATAGGGATACGTTCGAGGCTGGTTACAGACGTCATGGCTCCAGGCCTCCTCAGAAACCAACGGAGCCCAGTGGGCGTCGCGCTGGGCAAGCTCTCTGACGCGTGCCCACGGGCGCCGCGTCTGCCTACAGCCTACAATCAGGAGGGGACAAAAACAAAGACACCATTCATCGTCGATGTCCTAGAAAATATGGGAAAATATGGGAAGTGGGGGGGAAGACAGAAACCCAGAACATATGGGAAAATATGGGGAATCGTTTTATTTGTGTGTATTTATCTGTGCGTCCCTGGGCCCCTTCATACAACACTTCGCCCGACTCAAATGGTTGAGAAGCCTTGGGGGGCGTATGGTGCTCCCACCAGCAAGCGTTGCACGTGGCGCCGCTTGCCCGAGCAGCCATCGCCCATGACAGAAGCATGCGGATGTTGAGCGCCCTGGGATCGCGGACCGTGGTTGCGCGCTTAGCCGGTGAGCATGTAAGGTGGGGGGGTGAGGGGGAGGAGGAGGCACAGCTGAAGGAGTAGCAAACGTGGTGCCATGGCACAAGTCAGAGAGTGTCGTGTATGCCAAACTTGAATCAGGTAGTCACCTTCTTGCTTGGGCAATGCTCTCATCTTCGCCCTCAACACACAACCTCTGAATTGGGAGGGACTCTAGTCAATCGGATGCACTCCTGAGGCAGTTTAGTAAGCGGATGACTTGGCGTCACGACTAGTCTTCGTGACCTCATGAAGCCACGCAGAGTCAGATAGCAACGATTCGCCTAAGAACCTCCATTCATCACAGAGGGGTTCTCAGGTTGCCAGCTTAGGAGCCGCGGCGTGATGCAGAAGCCGAGGCAGGCGAATGCGGTCTGTTGGCCATCCTATGGACACGGCGGTAAGCGTGGTGGAATCAGACGCCGATGTGATCCTGCAGGGGGGCAGATAGGACAGACAAGCACCATTCTACTCGAGGCCAGCGCTTCAGCAAAGTGCCGCCGTGTCTCTACTTTCTGCTGGCTGGCAGGCAGCGGCCCTCGGGACCGGCGCAGGGGCCGAAGGCCCCAGACACGTCGGGCCGGACGAAAGGGGGGGATTGGGAAAGGGGGGGTTACGAAATTTGCTGCATGCAGCTGGTTTCGGCCTCACCGAGGGTCCCATTCCTCGATACATAGCCGCCTCTGGCGCCGGGAGGCGCCGGGAAAATCAGCTACGTGAGCTGATTCTCAAGCCCCCCCTTTGCTATCCCCCCCTTTCGCCCGACCCGAACACGGCAGTGGCCGTGGCCACGGCTTCGGGGCCCGCCGATGCGTCTCTTTCCTTCCCGCCCATCCGCCGTGGCCCTTGCCGCTCCGTTCCCTCCTCCTGTTCCTTCTGCTGCTCTCCCTCCTCCTTGGCCTCCTGGCTAGACGCCTTTCCTCCTTTCTCCTTTCCTCCTTGGCCTCCCCCTTTCTCCTCCTCCTTCTCCTCCTTTCCCTCCTCCTGTTCCTTCTCCTCCTTTCCTTCTCCTCCTTTCCCTCCTCCTTTCCCTCCTCCTTTCCTCTTCCCTCCTCTTGGCCTCTCCCTTCCCTCCTCCACGTCATCCTCGTCATCGTCTTCCTCCTTGGCCTTGCAAAAAAAAACGAAGGATTGCAACACAACCCTTGGTTTGCAAATCCTTTGGGGGAAGGGTTGCAAAACAACCCGAGTTTTTTTTCTTGCAATCCTTCACCCGAAGGATTGCAAAAAAAGAGAGGGTTGGTTTTGTTTGCAATCCTTCGGGTTTTTGTTGCAATCCTTGGTTTTTTGCAATCCTTCGTTCCACCTCCCCCACGTCATCCTCGTCATCGTCCGCCCTCCCCATCATCCTTGCGGCGCTCAGGGGGGCCTTTTGGCTTTTGCAGCCCCCCCCTGGGCCGTCCTGGTGGCTCCTGCGAGTCCTCCAACCTCCAACCTCTTGGGCACCCCTTGGTCTCTCCACGGCTCCTGTTGGTTGGTTGTCTCGAGGGCATCTTGTGGCCGTCTTGAGGCACCCTTGGGGCCCTCGTGGGGTCCTCTCGGACAACCTCGGGCCCCTTCAGAGGCTCTCTCGTGGCCCTCTTGGGACGCTCGTGGGATCCTTTTTAGATCGTCAGGCCTCGTTGAGCTCCCCGCATCGTGGAACTTTTCGGTGCCGGGAGGAAATTTTCAAAGTTCGGACGAGTTCCAGTAGTCGTTGCATGACGTTGGCCGTATAGATATTTTCGTATGTCCCGTTTGGGCCGTCTTGGAGGCATCTTGGAGCCTGGGTTATTTTGAGCCCTTCTGGGCCGTCTTGGCGACGGGTCCTCTTGGGCCATCTTGGCATTGGCTTGCGGCTGTATGCAATGGTCTTGGAAGCATCTGGTGCTGGTTGGTCGACGAGATGTAATATTCAGAAAGACAAGTATCGGGTTGGAAAGATGGGGCTGGGATAATTGATCAGGCCATTTGTATGATCGCGTATGTTGAAGGTGCTTATTAGACTGGCATGTGCACGGGCATTGGCCATCGCATCCTCCAACTCCCCTGCAGCTTGTATTGCCTGCCGATTGCTCTCGCACTTCTGCTTGAACTTGGGCTGGGTCTTCGCTTTCATATGGCTGGAAACGGCGTTCCCACTTTTCGCATTCACGCGTCTTTCCTTCATCGTCAGCAGTTCCTCCTGAAGAACCCTGCTCTGCGCGTCACTGTCTGGGTCTCAACAGTTTAGAATTACATCTAGGGTCCGATCGGCAGCGATGCTGCACCGCCGGTGCCAAAGACTCATGCAGAAGTCAAGTGATTCCGTATCGCGAACGGGACGCAATACGGAATTCCTTTTTTACTTACGCATCAGGATCGGAACGCAATACGGAACTTGCTACGGCCCCGCGATCCCCCACAGTTTGCATGAGCACGGGGAGAAATTCATTTGAGAATTCCGTACCAGCAACGGATCGCAATAGAGAGCCCGATGCGGAATTATTTACTTGGCAATTACCAGAAACCCCTGGCATTGCTCATGCCCTTGGTCCACCTCCAGTGTTCGCCGCGTCGCTTTAACACCTGAGGTGGTCCAAGATGGCTCTGAGAGGGCCCAGAACACACAAGAGGGCTCTTGGACAGCCCCACCGACGGCCTCGGCAGGGCTTCAAGAGGGCCCCGAGAGGACAATGAAGTAGGGTGCAGGGTGCAACCTGCGTTTTGGGAAGTTCCCAGGGGTCCAAGATGGCCCTGAGAGGGCCGCGAAGTAGGCTGCAAGTTGCGC